GGGCCTTCCCAAGAGCGCATATTCAGATATGGAACATGCACAGCTCCCACTGTACTGTTTCACGTAGTGCATCACTAGGATCAAAGTAAACCAAAAACATTTAGACCATTGGCATTTGAATTTGCTTACATTACTCTCATACACAACAGCCTTACAGGCCACAGTCAGCAAAACATGACTTAGTGTTTTCAGTATCCGTGCTCCTCGCATCCTTAGCTGGGAGATCTCAGAAGATTCAAATATGTTAAGTATATATCTGTTCTTATTTACAGTAAAAAAACCAGACTGAATGTAAAGCAACACGTTTAATAAATCTGCAGAGCCTAAAGTACCAATATAATTCACAGCAGCAAGGTAGACATGCACTTCTTAATTAACTGGGTGATGTTCTCGTTAAACCAAAAGACAACCCTGGGCCATAGCTAAGATTAAACACACGCTCTTTCAGAGGAAGCTCCTACTATTATGAACATAAAGGCTTTAAATCACAAAAAATAAACCATCTAATAGTCTGCATTCAACAGTAAGTAGAAAGTCAGGACACAGACTGATTTGGATTAACACATTTTCAGTTATAATAAGTAATTTTACAGAGGATTAGTATCTTGATGGTCTGATCAATACTAGGCATTGCTGCTATTACAGATGAAGAGAAAATTACCCCTCTAGTAATAAAGTGTGTATGTCTTGGTTCTCCTTCATTTGCTGAGTCCATTACTGTAATAGTTCCAGCATTAGCAGCTGAGGCAATTTAAACAGCAGGAATGTGATGAATTTAAAAGCGAGGAACATTTGCCACACATTCTTGTATTTTATTCTGCATATGCAAGGTTCTACCTGATCACTTCCAATACACAAATCATGTGTTATGTGACTATCAACACTATTTCTTAATTATTGTCTCATTAATAATGGGAAGGGCCAATAATGTGATTACTGCAAAATTTGCTACTGGCATACTGGCTGCTGAGTCTGCTAAAACCTGCACACCGTTTACGTAAGCAGAAATATGGCATGACAAGAAGCTTATTTAACTGCATCTAAGCTGTTTCATTAACTTAATTTTCCTAAATACAACTTCTAAAATAATACATTTAATCTATTAGAAAAATTTTGTATGTTTTTATTTTTAAGAGGCTGAACAATAACACAAAACAGAAATTAATGTAACATTTGAGCAAACTATGGTAAGACAATGTTTAAGTTTATATACTTCATCACACAGTATGGGTGACATTTTTCAGCATTAATTTTAAAATCATTCCCCTGCTCTCAGAATACTTGCCTATTTTGCTCTCAGTATTAATATGTTGAGGCAACCTGTTTTATCCTATAAATGTATATTATTTTCCAGCCAGCAAAAATGAGAATGATGCAGGAAATAAGACTTTCATTGAAATCTCAGCCAGAACACTGTATATTCCCTTTTCCTCCTTGTAAATAAAATACATGCAAGGCTTTGTGTTACTTAAAGCTTTATGTTTCCTTGCCACTTTGTCTAACATGTCTCACAAATGTGAAATTGCACATGAATATCTTTGTAAAAGCCCTTGTGAATATTCAGATATGTGCATATTGATGCATTTATTATTTGTGTAGCAATAACTTTATTGGATTGGGGTCCCAGCTGTGCTGGGAGCTGTACAAACCTAACAGTAATGTCTGTGAAATACAGTCTCTGTAGTCAGTTCTGGCTGCACAGCTATGTGAATTAGCATAAACAGCTACACAAGGTAATTGTGAACTGGGCTTAGTAGTCTATTCCAAAGACCCGTCAATATAATCCTTTTAAAGTAAAATAAAGTAATACTGCAGACTAGCTGAGCATCTTGTCTTTGACATGGTAATGACACAGGGTCTTAATATGCAACCATTGGCAAGTAGAAGCATATAAAAGTACTTGCTAAAACTTGGCATCTGACACACTGAAACTTACTTTAAACAAACTCACCTTGTCTAAGTCTTGAGAACAGTCGTACATTAAAGATTAACCTTTTTAACTAACCTGTGAATATTTATCAAGATAATAAAATTCTAAAAGCAAAACAGCTTTCTTCCCAAGTTTAAAGTGGGATAATAGTATAAACAATCAAATAAGAGCTTTATGTTTGGTTTTAGTTTATGTGGTACCTTTTCTTCACCCAAAAAGAAGTTTCTGCAAGGTGACCAAAACTCTGACCAACAGTAAAGAAAAAAGTCAAAATAAGTATAACCTCTATTAATTAAAACTGAACACTAAGTTAAAAGAAATGCACACAAATGAAACACGCCCCCAGTGGAGAGTTTCATTAAAATGCCTTTCCAGCTAATGAGCCACATTTACTCTGTATGCACAGAAGTAGTATTTGCAATGAGGAAGACCAGCAAAGTTGATAGCATGCAACACTTTTAGAGAGGTTTTTACAAACTTCAGAATAACCCTCTTTTGCTGTCCACTTCAAACTCAGAGAAACATTCCACAGGACACCAGCATCCCCAACACAGTGTTTCAGACAGCTGAGTAACTAATTTCTGGTTATTGTTTCCCAACTTTTGTCAGACCCTCCTCCCAGGAATGAATTTGCATCCTCCTCCTCTGGGGCTTGGAACACCAAATACTAGTAGAAAGAATTTCTGCTACAGAGTCAATCTTGCCCAATCCAATTGAGTGATCTGCAAAGTGGAAATTACTGTATGACAACGCTGCACTACAAAGAATTTCTACCACATGTACTTGGAACAAAAATGTTCTTCTATAGCAGCATAAATCAAAACTTGCTGTAAACATGAAAATTTGGGAGACGGAGAACAGCTTATCACATACAAGAAACATACTGCATAGTTACAAAGCAAAAGCCAATCACCAGGCTTCTGACAGACAGCATTTAACTGTATACAGTTAGAGCAAAACAAGAACTTTAATTCAGGATTTAATTCTCCAGAACAGAGACATTGCCAGGAGATACATAATCCAAACCAGCTTCTCTATCTCCCTCTCATTAGTAGGCCTCATAAATCTTGTTCTCCAGAAGAGGTCAAGTTAACTTCACTAATAGTTGGTTTGCTACAAAATATTTTGATCAGGACCAAAACGGAAGTCTTGGCAGAACTACTACAATAAATACACACTTCCTTTGCCTTTAGCTTTTCTTAGGTGGGCAACATAAGCAAACAATGGTTAAACCTAGAGACTGACTTGGTAGAGTGCAACGAGCCCAAAGATTACCTTTTTAATTAAGTAGTATAAAGTAATACCAGTACGAAGATGCATCCATGAAAATAAAGCACACATTTCTTCCTGTATAACCCCTTATCTTCTCATTCTCATCTTCAAAGCGTTTTTCTTTGGCATCCTTTATTCTAAGATGCTCTACAGACTCCTTTTGCTTAATTTCCAATACACTCAAAGCTTCTCCCATGTAGTACCCAACTTAGAACATCCTCCTAAGACACCCTGTAAGTATTCATACCTTTAAATTCTCTAAGGACCTCTTCTTGATTTCCATCCTTCCCTTTCTGCTCCTACAACATATGTGTCTAAGGCAGCACTCTACCACTCTAGTGCCCCTGAGTTTTTCTTACGCATTGCTCCTCCGATACCTCTTCAAATGCCGTGCTCCCCTACAGCCTTTGTCATCGTAGTTCGTGCATTTGTCTGAACAATTAGATTACCAATGGTAATTATATCCTGATGCATATGATTCCCGGATGTGTTCGAGATCTACAGCAAAGACAAAAGCCTTTGGAGGAATAACAGACACAGGTTAAAAAAGGTATGGGCTGTTTTTCTTGCTGCAACATAATTCCATTGTATTGGACACCTTACATCTGTATGTTTTCACACATAAGGAAGAGCAAAACACAAATGAAACAGAGGTACTGTCCTTCAGCAAAAGGCCCTATAGTGAAATAACTTCTAATGTTAAATAGTAAATTAATAGCAGTACCAAACACTGTGTGTTCAGTATGCAAACATGGGTGCATCAGATTATCACTTTAGGAGAGCTTTTTCTAAATTTATAATGAGAATTGTCCTTCCTGCCATTAACACCAGTGTTCTGCTTTCAAACAAGTAATTTCTGCTTCCCTATACTACTATTTTGTAAACCACACCAGCAGAAGCACAACAATCATCCAGAGCTGCTGTCAAATACTGTACAATGCAGAGACACCTGCAACAACAAAACACCCATCAGTGTAATTCCATCTTCAGTGTAAGCAGTTAACACCACTGCATTTAAACGCATCATCAAGAAGAAAACACTGTAAAGCTACGGTGCTGAAACAAATTTAAAAGTGTTTATTTAGGTCAGGCTTGGTGTAGAGTACTTCTAAATTTGGAAATAAAAGCACAGTTACATAATGCATCATCTGACAATGTCTTCACAAAAACATACATTTACTTGTCTAATATTTTTTCTTGTAACGCCGTAGAACTTGCATTTAAATTGAACCATCTTCCCCGGGCATTAAAAATCTTTATGAGTACTACTGTTAAAGCTACACTAGGCTCCCCTCTCTCACGGGACCGGGGAATATAAGGTTTGTAAGTTACTTGGCAGCCCCACCGCTTGGCCAGCAAGCAGACCTCAGCCTGGACAGAGCTCCCCGGCCCTCGAGCACCGGCCCGCAGCCCCTGTTCTGGGACACTGGGCACACACGGACCACTTCACCACGGCGACTGGAACGGAGAAGGAGGGACGAGCTGTCAGCCGGGGAAGGGCCCGGGAGCCGCTGCGCCCGCCCTACCAGGCCCCCGAGGGGACGCCTCAGCAGCCGCCTAGCAGGCACACCGCGGCCCCCCGCCCTCAGCCAAGCCGCGGCAGGGAGTCCGACGCTGGGGTCACTTCCCTTCCACAGTTAACTTGACGGCAGCTTCGGGGACCCTCACACGGGTCTCCTGGCGCTCCAGAACGGGAGGACCCTGCAGCCCCATGAGCCTTGCAGCAGCGCGGTAACGAGGGCTCGACACGGGCACGTTCCTCCGGGCTGAGCGGGAGCAGGAAAAAAAGAGAAGGTACCTTCAGTTTTTTCTCCCACTCCCCTGCTCTCCTCTTCATGCTGCCGCCTCAGCCTTCCTCCCGCGGCTACTCCCAGCAGCGCCCGCCCCCACCGGCCCAGCTAAGGCCCGCGGCGAGCGCGTCGGGAGAACAGCGCGCAGCACAGCTGCTGTGAGCTGCCCCGGAACTACAGCTCCCGGCAGGCAGCGCTGCAGAGCTGGGCCGGAAGCGGAAAGACCTGGTTGGCAACAGCGGCTGTTGGTAACAGAACGCTAAGAAGAGACATAGGTCTGGCGGGGAGCTGTAAGTACGAGACACCCTGTCCTCCGCAGGGGCACGGCGGGGGAAGGGTGGCGGTGCTGGAGCCGCTCAGGTGGATGCGCAGCCATGCCTAGAAGCGCTGGTGTCCCTGAGGAGCGGGGGCTGGCGGCGGCGGGGCTGCCCTGCGCCGCAGGGGGGCCCGGCCTGGGGCTGCGCTCCTGAGGCTGGAGTTTGACATCCGTGAGGCTCCCACGCTCGCACCTTAGTGCCCTTGGGAAGGGGCAGGTTGCCTCACCGTTCTCCGAGAAAGCAGCCTTACAGGCCTCCTCGGTTCGGCCGCTGTACATAAAAAGGCCGCTGGGCGCAAGCGGGAGTTGTGTCCTGTGCTCGAGGGCGGGAAAACCCGGGCAGTGAAGGCGTTCCTCTTGAGGAGACGTTGCGTGTCCCCGCCCTCCTGCCCCCTCCGGTCATTGCCATAACGGAAGGAGCAGAAGAAGAATTTGGAAAGCGCATGTAAAGTTTGTTGAAGGCGAGACACGGTCGTTTTCATTTTTTCATGTGTTGCAGTATTAGGGGAGATGTTGCTTCCCTCAGACTGCAGCACGATGTTGAGATCTTGTTTCCTAATATCTTCCATGTCTTCTCTGGTTTGATTTTTTTTTTCCCTTTCCACCTCCTAAAACTCACTGCAACAGATAATGTTTGGATGATGTGTGTGCATACTCCTAGCAAGTAGTAAATGAGATTATTTTAGATGACAAGCTCGTCAGAGTACAGGCATATAAGGCATCAGTAAAGAAAGGGTGTATGCAGGAAATAGTATGGTGTATGCTTTGTGATAGGCTGAGATAGATGCGTGGTATTTCCCCCCCCCCCCCATTTTTTGTTTCTCCTTTCCATATATTTATTTTTCTTTTTTTTTTTTTTTTTATCTTTAGCAGAGAAATTGAGTATAATTTTGTAAGAAAAGCGTCATCTTGGTCATGGCCAGGACTCATGAAATTCTAAATCCACCTTGAAACAATTGATGTGTTCTAATTTTTAAGTTTTCACTGGAAACTGCACCTTTTAGCACCTCTGCCTGAGAATATATGGAAATGTACATAATCCCTCTTCAGTTTTTCTACATTTGAATGATGTTGGGAGAACAGTACTCTTCTGTGAGCTGTATAAAAATTTGGGCCTCAAGTATGCAGTTTGATACTTAAGTATTCGTGCTTGTTACTGGCTGTTCTTGTATAACCCTGCAAACCTGTATGCAAGTTTTTGTAGTTACTTGTGAGATACAAGTGGTGATAGTATCGGTTTTATAAGTAGTGCAGTGTATAAAAGACATTACGGTTTCTTTAAGTTCAGTAGCTATATCTAAAATTCTTGCTTATACTAAACTTGAATTTTTTATAGGTTAATCCCAAAAATATGGAGAATTCTCCTCTCTTTGTATGTGAAGTTCTCTTATTTTTTAAGAATAGGAAGTGCTGATTGACTGTAGGACAACCTTTCTTGGAAATACAAATGGGTTTAAGTTGTTGAGGTTCATCGTGGCATGTGGATCTGTCATGATGCAAATACAAATTCATCTCTTTATTGTGCTTTATTATAAGAAGTGCTGGACTATCGCATACCATCACTTTTGTAGCAGTCTTGCTAAATAATTTTGTCAGATTTAATCACTTTGGAAATAGAGCTGTGTGAGAAATCTCATGCTTTCAGAAATGATGCTGGGACTTTGGTTGGAAGGAAAGTAATTTTGTGTAAGTTTTGGTGATTGACACTGAGGTAGTATTCAGCAAGTAACTGTAACAAATGTTAACACATGATTTGCTTTTTAAAGTGTCCCTGCTTGGAGAAGCATAAATGGTACGTGTTCGTGATTATCAAGGACATAGGTAGATTTTATGTTACAATAAGGCACATAAATTGCCAAGCCAAATTCTAAATCTTGTAATTTTACCTCCCCAAAACCGGGAGGCAAGTTTTACTATTTCTATCTAAACCCAAGCTTTCTCATAAAAAAATGAACTTGGATTTTTCTTCTCCTGGCCCACGACAGAAAAGAAAGCTGAATCCTCAATTTCAGTCTCTTACTAATAAAAATGAAACAACTAATTCTTCCTTTTATTTTTGAAAATTTCATCTTTCTAAGTTTTCAGGACCTTAGATTTAAAGCAGCTTGTCTGCAAGTCATGTCATGTTGCCAGTAGAAACTGGCTTTCATGTACAGCCCTGCTATATTTGTTTTCTTACATCTGAAGTAGTTCTGTGGTTTTGTTGCAGCTAGTAATGAATTACTATTAACAAGTGGTTTTATGTTTGTTTACTTCAGGAGCAAGCACCTGTTGGTTTGTCTTGTGTTTTCTAATGAATGGGCTTTTTCTCATACTGAAAATAACATTCATAGCAATGCTTCCTCAACACCTGGCAAACAGTGAAAACCAGGAATGTTCGCCCATGCTGTTGTTCCGCTAGAGTTTTTGAAGCTTGGTTTTGATAGATCACAAACATATTTGTTTAGCTCTTGACCACTCTGAAATTTGCCAAGAAAAAACCCCAAACCTCTGTCATTTTTGATTTGTGAAGACTAAGAGAACCGCATTCTAGAAAGACGTGTAATGGTAGCATCTCCTCCTTGCCACCATCATGAACCAAACTGGGGTGGATCATTGCGAGGTAAAGATTTCTGGTTTGCTACATACAGTCTCAGTTGCTGCAGTGATATTGATACAGTGATACATAGTACTGATCTCAGTAATGAACCTAGATCTGAATGAAGTCAATGACTGTCGACAGCACTAATATATTGAATTTAAAAAAAAAAAAAACCCACAAAAAACCAGTTTTGAGTGATTGTGTGAATAACACTGAAAGAGCAGAGGACAGTGACAATCTGGATTCTGTCTAATTTGTCTGTGATTAGAATTGTGCCACTGGTTACAGTGCCTGCATGCCATGAACTGTTATTCTCTTTCTGTGACTAACATTGAAACTGCAACCTTATTCCTAATATGCAAGTGGAGGTCAGTTTAGGCATTTCAACAGTCATGACTTTACTGGTACAAGAAAAGCACATCTTTAGCAGAAGTTTTGGTTAAAATAGAATTAACAGATACTTCATGCAATGTCTATGCATGTGTCACTTCTGTCATCCAGTGCAGGTCTTTAGTAACATCGCTGTTAATTTCCCAGTGCTTCCTGGATGTTTTTGAATTCACTAAGGATTCGTATCACTTAAAAAGTGATGGGGGGGGAAAGGAAAGACCGTCCAAAGGACTTAATGTCTCTCTTTTCATGCTATTTCAGCCTTACTTGACTCTGTGGCTAGCGCCTTATTTTCTGCACTGGAAGAGAAGAAAGAAATATTAGTTGTTAACAAGTATCTTCATACTGCATTACACTGAAACAAATGTAGTACTTTTTCACATTAATACTTTCCTAATCTCACTTTGTCATGTAGCTACGCTTTCTGTTGCCTCAAGAAAGAAATGTGTTCGGATTTATGAGAATCTTTCATAGAACGGTCTCCTAGAAAGTAGTTTCTTTTATGACAATGATTGAAAGAAGACTTAGAGAATAGTAGGCGACACTGAAATGACTTTGTAACCTCCAAGCACCTCTGTTTCAAAGAGGCTGATCCAAAATGTGGAAAATGGTATTACTCATGTAACAGAAGCCATATTTTGTGCATGGAGTAAAACTAGCATAACTTTAAAGTTCACATTCTCTTCTGAGTGACACAATTGACATGGGAACATTTACAGTAATGTATGAGTCTGTCATTTCAGTGAATCTGTCATTACTGTTTCCTTTATTTTATGTGATGTGTTGTAGTTTATTCTAGTCTTGCAGTCTAAGTTACAGATGGAAAAGAATTTAATCTGAATTTTGTTATCCATAGATAAGCCATGTCAGTTCCAGCTGATGAAACAGTAGGGGACCTGCCTGTAAGAGATGTAGGTCTAACTCCAGCTGGAATTGAAGGATTACAAGGTTTGTACCAGCTGCTGTTTATTACAATTGCAGGCTTTGATCAGTGGCTTCTTTAGTTTTTTTCTAAAATTGTTTCTGACATTCCCACTCATAAAATTAAGTTCAAATACCATTCAAAACCTGGGTTGAATTCTGAAAGGTACTATGGCCCACTCTATGTTCATGTTGCTTGTTATAAGAGAGGAGCTGCTGTGATTTGCCAAAAAATGGAAATCTCATTGAGCTATAACATTCATCCTTCCAAGGACGTGTTTTGCTGAACTGAGGACAAAGCCAGGCCCATTGAACAAAATGGGCACCAAAAATACTTTTGTGTTCTGATACGTTACTCAGCTGCTGTTAAAATGGAAGTACTGGGCATAATCTTTTATCTAAGTAAATTTACATTATTGTTAGTTAATCTTGTCAAGCTTCAAGAGAGTATGTTAACTTTGATTAGAAAGCATCTCGGTAATGATCTTTTTTTAAGTAGTATGTCTGACAGTGCCTTGTTATTTGCTCAACTATTTCCCTTGTGCTCTCAAGTTATGTACTGTTTACTGTATAATTTTTATTTTTTTTTCACCTGTAAGAAGGAGAAAAAATGAGATGTTAATATGCCAGTGTCTGCAAAAGATAATCAACAGACTGGTACAAGTGTAAAATATCAAACTACTTGAAAATTTTGAGTTTTTTCAGTATTTCAAAATGAGTTAGACTTTGGATTACATGTTGTTGAATATATTGAAGGTCATTTAAAGTTGTCTTCGTTTGAGTAGAGTCAACTACACACAATGTAAAAGCTCGACAAGCTCTATCACGAGTCAGTCGAAAGGAACTGGAAGACAGATTCCTTCGTGTACACGATGAGAACATCTTACTCAAACAGCATGCAAATAAGCAAGAGGAGAAGATTAAAAGGTATGGAGCTTAGTGGTTTTGTTTTAGCTAAAATAACATTTTCACTCTTTAAAGCATTATCAACAGATTCAAAATCATGCTGATTTCTCTCAGAACACTTTTAAAACAGTAGCATAAATCACTCATTGGAATTCATTTTTTCATTGATCTCTGGTTGTCTGTATGGTATGTGGGATATTTTTTGCAGTGGACAGTATTAGATCTCCATGTAGAGAGGCACACCGCTCTCCACCACTTCAGAGATGGTACTTTGGGTTCATATCAATGCTATCTCAGTACAAATATAACAGGTATTCTGGGAACTAAAGAAGAGGCAGCAAAAGCCTAATTATTCATCAGGAATTTCATCCTAGAATCAGAATGACCTGTGAAGAGATTCTGCCCCTCTTTTTGCTCTTCTCCGTCCTCCAGGTTGACTAGCATCTAACCTTTTAGCATCTAGTTAACTGTAACCTATCTTTATAATTGTGATCAACTCTTCTTTACTAAGGGTAATAGATAACTTCATTGAAGAAATCCCAAGTAGCATGGGAAGCACAGTATCCAATGGGCCCAAACATATGCAAAGAACATTAGGGTTGTTACTAAACTTCGTGTTGTGCTGGCAAACCAGTCTGGACTCAGCAGAGGTGTTCATGGTATTATTATACTCCAGGAGGACTTGTTAATCCAAAAGCACCATGACTGTGTTCACATTGTGCTGCACTTAAGCTAATAAAATCTTGCTGCATCTAAGCTAGCTTCTGATGAGAAGCTAACAAGTTCATGAATGGGTGTCTGAAGATACTGCCTCTCTAGGTGAGGTATTTCATACTTCTCAAAACTCCAAAACATTCTTTCCTTTTGACTCAGTATTCACTATCAAATTGACAAGCATGATATAACTTCCATCTTTTCTGTCAGGCTACTGACAAATATAACACAGCGGAATAAATAAATTGTTTGCTTAAGCAAACTTCGCAAATGCCATTTCCTGTGTTTCTGTTAGGTGACTTATCAAACGCACTCACCAGCCACTTAGGTAAAATTACACAGAATGTCCAAACTGAATACCTGAATTCATATTTTAAAGCACAGAAAATATAAAACACAGTGTTTGTCTAGACTGCCAGAGAAAAATTTTAACTCCTCAAGCTAAATTTCTTTCCCAGCATCCCTTGTGCCAAAACCCTTGTAACTAAAAGTTTGGAATTAATTTGCAGTAGAGTACATTGAAAAAAACAATGAACAAAAAACCTGCTTACAGGCAAGTAACATTCTGTGACATCCTAAAGTTATTATGGATTTTTTTTGTTTCACTTTTGTTCTTTTAAGTAGAAGCTTCTGTCCACAAGCATACAAAAATAAAACACGACCCTTTAAAGAAATGAAGTGTGTCCGTATTTTCAGTCATCTTTCTGGGCCTGCAAAAATAGATTCCCTATAAACTAGATACAGGTCTTAAAGGTGTGTGACCAATTTTGTAAAGTCTTGAACTTGTCTCTCTCATCAAAGCCACCTTTTCTTTCTTTATATGCCAAGTTTTTTCCATTCACTGCTGAGTATGTTTTCTGTTCTTGTATATTACATCACCCCCATGTGCCCTCTCTGCCTTTTGTTCTAACGTACCAATGTTTATCAAAACTAAAGGAAATCAAAGGTACAACTCTTGAGATGCCAAAAGCAAAATTTGTATTCATTTAAAAATAGATGAAAACCATACCCTCTGTATCTAATTATATTCTTCAGCTAACCATTCCTTCTCTGAAGCACATAGGTAATATTTACCAAGTATAAAATAGAGTGTGGTAATGAGAACTATTAAGTTTCTTTTTCTGGAGCACTATCCATCTATATATTTTAGCCACTTGAGAACTGAAATATACTTTTAAATCCCCAAAATCTAGAAATGACATATCATTGGAATGTTGTATATTATTAGTGTTCTTTCAATAGTTGGATATTTTGTGGAATTGTAGCTTTTATAGTTTGCTCTGCCACATCCCAAATCTGTAACTTGCTTAACAGCATGCAGAGGTTCCTATATAAGGTCATGCGTTAAAAATTACATTTAAGCAGCATATGGAGTAAATATGTGTCCTCCCTTTACTAACCTTAAATGATAAGCCTTAGGAAACTGTTATTTGTCAGTGCTATAAAGCAGATTGCTGCACAGTGGTTTCAATTATCTTCAAAGAGTTCTTCACAGGCAGTAATAGTTATATCAAAACCTGAAATTTATTATTCAGGTTCTATGCTGAAGTCTTCACAGTGATTATGTTCCTTTCAACAGAGTGCTTTTTATGCTGACTTTTCACATTCTTTTTCATCTTGTTTTATTATTTTCCCCAGAATGGCCACCAAGTTAATACGGCTTGTTAATGATAAAAAAAGGTCTGAACAGGTTGGTGGCGGCCCCAAGCGGCTCGGCCAGGCTGTGGAGATGGAAGAAATGATAGAGGATTTGCAAGAGAGAGTTCGTGAGCTTGAGAAACAAAATGAGAGCCTCCGCAGCAGACTCATTTCAGCTAAACAGCAGCTCCAGATTCAAGGCCATAGACCTTATCCATACAGCTGTGTTCAATCTCGTATTAACACTGGGCTCAAGAAAGTGAGTGAGGCTGCTGGCATGCCGGAGCACACAAAGAAAGGTATAATTTGCATTTAGTAAAAGCAGTAGTTCACATAAGTTACCACGAGTTAGAGCGTCGTAGTAGAAAGTACATACTGTTCCCTGTTCACCAGCGAGCAATAGTACCTGTAGATAGAAAGATTGTTCTTTCCCCTTTTTTCTTGTATTTATTTTATAGTAGTCATGGTAACTTGTTTGCCGTTTTGAGAATCCACATTGGTAGGGTTAAAAGGACAGATTTGAAACTAAAGTAGTTATCAGGAAAGTTTTCTAACAGTTAAATCATGAGACTTTTTTAATATAACTTCTCTATGTGTTCAAGGCTCGTAAAAAAGTATATGAAAAACTTCAGTGTTATCATGTTATAACAAAGTTTTACATCTGTAGTTTGTTTGCACATGTTTTTCTTTTTTTAATTTCAAGGTTTGCATGTGTGCACAACACTGCAGACTTGAAAAATCTATTACATGTGTGGACTTTTAAAAGCAAAATACCACAATGCAGCCATTTATAATGATACTTTTTGCTGTCAAGTCTTGCTGCTTAAGGCAGTCTCACTCTCAGTCCTTTATTTATAGTAGGTATAGCTGGAAATTACACTTTAAAACCTTCCTATTTTCATATGAACATTTGTAGAAGTAGTTGTACTCAGTTAACTTAAACAATGTACAGATAATATGTTCAAAAAAAACAAGACTTCTATGGCCCTGATTCAAAATTGAGTCAGCACAATTGTCTTGACTTCTACAAGCTATGAATCAGGCAGATGGCCTGATCCATAGCTGTATTGGCTTTTTCTCCATATCACCCTCCCACTGGTCTTTATTTTGGTTACATTAATTATATAACCAAATGTATTTCAGATATATGAAAACAGAAACAATTCTCATGTTTTAGACAGGCCCTTTTGATTAATGATGATGCCCAACATGAGACTGCTAGGTTTGTGTGCTTCCTGTGTTTAAAGATTGTTGGACTCTTGGAGTCCTCTGTGAAACCATAAGGTTGAATCTCAAAATATTTTTAGTGCAGATCCGAAACTATTCAGAGGAATTATTGAAACATAAAATGCCTGCATAAATTCAGGAAGGTGTAGCTGTCTCTAGGGTATGAAGAGGCAAGAAGAGCCCACAAATAATAAACCCCCTTACTGTATCTGCTTTGTGTTTGACTGATTTAGAAATACTGTATTGAGTCAATCCAAAAGATGTGGTCAGGTATGAATGTTCATTAAACATTCACTGGTTTCTCTCATAACTTTCTGTATTGAGTACAACCAGCTGAGATAAATCTGGATTAACAAAAATACACAAAATACATATACTTAACCATATAAATACACACGTATGTATATAGCACAGTTACCAGTGCCTTAAAAATAATACTTCAAGATCAAAATTCTAAATATATGAATAAATAAAGTTAACACAGCACAAATGCAATGTAGGAAATTAGTTTTTTAGATCATTTTGTGAACCTGCTGGTATCATTGTACTTTGAATCTAAATTACTTCATTTTGGGAACTGAGGGATGGCAACATTAATGCCGTGTTTGAAGCAGAATGCATAGTTTGGTCCCCACTCAAAACTTACTGAAGAAGGAGAAGTAGCAGAAAGAGATTTGGAGAAACCATTGCTTTTGCTCCTGATTTAATATTTCCTCTTTAAGTAATTTCTCATTTTCCTTCTTCATCAGGGACTCGGCGTGCTTCTAAAGAATATAAGGAAATTATTTACAGTGCTGATAAAAATGTCCCTTTAGTTGCTTGTCTAGGTGAATGACACTTGTGATTTTGTAAAGAAAGTGCTATCACAGAAAAAGTGATGACGAATGTTTCCATTTAACAACATTGATATTGTTGTTCTTTGAAGACAACATCTTTCTTCTGTCTTTAGAAGTAAAATCTTCTAAGAAAAGCTTTTTGGGATGTTTTTAACACTACCTACCAGTGCATGCTGTATCACCCATAGTTGAAATTTCACAACAGCTGTGTTGTAGACACTGATTCTCTCTTTCCATTTGAATTTGTTGTGAAAAAACTCATGGCATCTATATACAGTTTGTAAGTGTTTGTATTGTGTAGAAATCATTGTTTTGTTAAATGCTTTTTCATTCAGCATGACAAAAATTTATAAAGATAAATTTTGTTTTTAGGAATGAGATTTCAGGATTTAGGAGTGAGATCAACTAACCTTGGACTCCCAGAATATGGACCGAGTCAGCTTGAGGCTTCGAGGGCAGAAATACGAGATTTGTATGGTTTTCTTAATTTTTGTCATTACAGTTGTTAATACTTGTGGTTTTCTTGAAGGAAAAGAATATTTTTCAGAAGTTTTACTTCAGAAAATAAAGTGAAGTTGTTGGATCTGACAACAGTAACACTGGTAACAATACAGAAGTGTTTTATGTTAACGAAAACATAGGATTAAAGACTAAGAATGCAGAATGCAGGTAAATAGAATTTGGCTGGAAGTTAAAATTGATCTTCAGTGGTGAGCCTCTCTTTTTTGCTAGGGTGCAATGCTGCCTGGCTTACTACTGGACAAAACTGACAAAAGCAAGGGCAACCTTAGCTACAGAATTGTTACCAACATGACTCCTAAGCTGTGTGGGATAAGCCATGCAAGTGCTAACTGTTGAATGTGTTATGCTTATCATTTAAGCTCAGTTTCTAAAGGTGGTCAGATTTTGTGGGTAAGTTAAAAAAAGTGCACTATGGGATAGAAATGTAAAATGATTTTGATTCATTTTGGCATTTTGAAACTTGGTTTGTAGTCCAATTGCACATTTTAACTGAAATGGAAGCTCAGGAATCTCTTGATAACATCCGTAATGTAGGGACTTCATGAGAACAGAGAGGTACTTACAGGGTGGTGAAGAGGTAGTTAATACCTAATTTAAAGATACTGAGGTCTGATCAGAGTTTTTTCTTGACCAAAATATATCAGAACTTACTATGGTTTTTAGACATCTGGTTTTCTAAAGGCTGTTTTCAGTATGTGTGTTTCCTTCTATAATGATTTACCTTAATTAGATTTACTACAACATCCATAAATGCTGAATTTTCAGTAAGTGGGGAAGCTAAGGACACAAGTCCATGAATAACTGCAATTGTGTGTTTTGTACCTGAAGTTTTGTAGACACAAAGATTAAGTGGGATCATAGGAAATCATTTTACAGAAATTATTTTAATAATTTACTTAAAATTCTTTAACAATTTTTAAATGGAACTCTTGCTAGTATCCTGTGTGAATTTAATCTTTGCTGAACAGTTACATGATTTTTTTAAATAATCTGCATTATAATAGAATGTTGTTACTGGGGTGGAAAAAAAAAACAACAAAAGCTTAGTAATTTAATAGTGATGGGCCTAGAAAGGGCTATTACTCCTTACACCTGTCACTTCTTAGGACTTGGAAAATAAGAGCTATTCATTAATACTGCCATGAATCTCAGTGTTCACAATAGCTTTTTTCCTAAGACTAATCAAATATGTTGTTATAATGCAGGAAAAAAAAATTGAATAGCATTAAGTTCTCACAAACGTGCCAAAAATAACCATATCTATTCAGAATGGTGGACTCAGGTACAAAAGCAATCATGGCCAAAAAAGTCAAGGTACTTTTAAGTCTATAATATATATACAAGGTAACGAAGAATTGTATCTTATGCATCAAAAGCTTTAGAGTGGAAAAAAATTGTAGGTGTTGCTTATTCTTATTTAAAAAAATATCATTGGGAGAGTTAACTGAGATTAACTTATCAAGAAAGTCAAACTTGTGGCCTATTAAAAAATTCAGACTCTAATCTCTATTGTTCTCTGATTTTTATTTTTTTTTAGTTGCATTTACTTGGTAAATTTCATAAGACATATAGTCTTATTTAGTATTTTGGGGGGGGTGTAAAGTTACTTAACTCAGAATAAAAATTTAAAAATTTCTTTCACTGTTCCATCTGTTGAAGTTTTTGAACATTTCATGTTCTTTTGACAGCTGGTGATTTTGGTTTCCTCTTCAGAAAACACTTGACACTAAAGGATTAGGAGGGAGATATGTTTATAGAGTATAAGAAACCATGCATGATGTTTTCAGCTAGATTCCACTGAATATTACTCAGTCCACATAAACATTTGAGAGTTTGTTTGATAAAGTTTTTGATCCATTTATCTATTTATTGTACTGTTCACAGCTTTTCGTAGTGTGACCTCTAATTGTTTTCATACTAACTTGACTCTTAAGCCTCTGTTGGTAACAAAAGTACTAATTTTGCTGAACACTTTTAAAATTTTTGCTTTCTTGACTGTTCATTTTATTTTTTTTCTTTTATTAAATATTGACCTTTTTTTGGAATATACGATGCTTGTACTTGCAGGGAGACTGTGATTGAGTCCCAGAAGGAACGCATTGAGGGACTAGAGCGTGGCAGAGAGATACTTGTGAGTGAGCTAAGAAGGAAAGAAAAGGAAATTCAAGAATCCATCCTACGACTGAAAGAGCAAGAAACAGCAAGCCAAAGGTATTGTAAAAAATGGCAGTCTCCATGATGGAAGCATTAGAAGAGCTATGTCATAATGTTTATATATCGCTGTGCAAATTTCTTGTTCTGCTAGGAAATACGTGCTTTATTCATGTTTAAGCCCTCCTTTGGTGAAACTAAGTGATAAAATGTTTTACCGGTTAGCCATGGATAATTCTAATCAATGAGATTGTTATGATAATAGGTTATGATGTATTTCCATAAATAAGCAAAGTTCGTAATTACCATTTTAGAGAATTCATTTCTAGCTGATTCAGATTCAATTGAAGTTCAACTCAGTAAATTTTAATCATCTATTGTTTCTTCAATATATTCTTAGAAAATTTTAAATATAGGCTCCTGGTAAGTAGTGTAATGTTCATTAATACTCATTGATAATTTGGAGTGTACAAATAGTAGAAACATAAAGGCCCAGTAAGGGTAGATTAGAAAACTTTGGAAGGAATATGATATGGCTGTGCAGTGAAACAAAGACGACAGTCATGCTTGTGAAATCAGTTTCACAATAAAGCCTCAATTATTTTAATGTTTTCTCTCTTCTTCCACTTTCGCAAAAGGTATGCAAAAAATCATGCAGCATTGCATATATTTTCTCTCTTTTGAGTGTTTCAATTTCAGCCTGTTACTTTCAATTCTACAAAAAAATCTAATACATCATGATCCTGCATTCCTTACTCATTCAATTTCAGTGGAAGTTCTACTTGGATAAGAAATACATGGTCAGTTCTTTAACTGTTTTTCAATAGAGGGACCCGTTATTATGTGTAAGCATTCTTTTGTGCATCAGTGGCACTACATAAATAATATATCATGTTCGCTAGTAAATTCTTCACAAAGTCATAAGTCTTCCGTATTCAGAATTTCCTTTAAATAGTTTAAATAGGTTAAAGAAGTTGTTATTCTGAATAATTTCTCAGTCTGTGCCTACAGTGAATTCAGAAAATATTTAAAAGTTTTTTTCGTTATTTGACAATAATCCGATGCAAATCTCAAAGAACTTCTGTGCTTCATTCTTCTGTAGATAAACACTGTTCTTTAAGTACAGCAGACAGAAACTGAACATCTAACTATCAAGTACCATATTTCTGAGAAATTTTTATGGACTTCTAGAGATGCACTTCAAATTCAACTAAAAAAAGTGCTTAAAGTCAGGCAACAAAAAGTAGTGCAGATCCTTACTTATTTATGTTTCTCAAATTACCTGTATACAATCCATGACACTTGGCCTAAGTTACTATCTTTGAATTCATATTTGAATTTCTGGAAGTATTTCCGTTACAGTTCTTTTCTTGTTTGAAGCCTGGTAAAAGATAGGTTAAGTCTTTAAGAGTTGCGGTGTTTTGCTGAACACACTGGGAAAGAAATAGAAAATTTTCCACTGGTGCATCTTTAGAATAGTATGCCTTCTGTAATTTTGCTACTGGAATACTTTATGGAAGACTTCTTTTTGCCATGTTTTTCAGGTTGTATTTTTTCATATTGAAAGAATCAGAGCCAGAACTTAGAGGGATACTATTGTCTCCAGGTTTAACTGCAAGCATAGGTACCTATACATACTATCTTTAGGAGATTTTCATTAGCTTGCTTTCTTGAAAGTCTTGCAACTGCTCTCTAAAACAGTCTGTATTAGCTGGTTTATTACACGAATAGACTTACACGTTCTATGTAATTCTTATATTTAATCTTATTTCCCTCAGCAGAGAAGTAACTGTCAATAGTAAAATGCTGGAGGAAAAAAATGGAAATTTGGTTGACTGATGAGGCCATCTGATTTTGTCTTTGTAGCTTATGTCTTTGAATTCTGGTACAATTTTCAACTTTTTCTTGTGTTTTATAAAAGTACTCTTGGCTGTCATCTAGATATGTTACTATTTAAAGACAATTCATCTGTTAAAATTCATGTTACTATTTAAAGACAATTCATCTGTTAAAATTCTTTAGAGACTGTATGTTGCCAAAAAGACATAAGTGTTTCCACCTATCTCTTTGTGTTGTAGCACCATTTGATCTCAGCCTGGTGTTAACAAAATCAGGTTACTTTCAACATTCAGGAAAGTATTCTTTATTCTTCTATATGATTACGAGATTATTGTAACTGAAACAACTGTAGTTTCCAAACAATTAAGCAGCCACAGTTAATAATCGTTGATCCATCAGCAGTAAGGGAGGGAGATAGTAGCTATCTTGAGTCCTCTACCCGCAAGAAATACAGTAATAATTTAAAGCTACCTTTGCAGCTTCACTACAATTTCTGTACGACAGCACAAGAGGTACATAACAGAGCTGAGTTCATGTGCAGTATACTCCTCAAGGTGATTATTGTAACATGGCTGCAATAATATTTTTTTTTCAATATTTCATTAGAGATTGTTTGGGGATTATTTCAGGAATACATAATTCTGATTTAATTCTGACTTAAGGAAGAAATTTGATGTGTGGCTTGTTAGATTGAATATATTTTCTTAACTTTTCTTACAAAATTTAACTGCATTTGACTTGTCTGATTTAAATTAAAGATGGCCAAAACCGCGATAACCTCATGATTTAAGTTCTATGATGACCAGTGCACAAGTTAAAACATTACATCTAAACAATCACATTTTGCAAGCAGCTATCTTCAGATGTCTTAATAGGTCATAGTACTTTCCCAAAAACATTGTCAAATCTACCCAAAATTCATTTGTGAAACAGGTGTTTGGTATTTGCATGTTTGTGCGTGTTTTTGTCTTGTGTGGTTGGGGTTTTTTAAGTGAAAAATCTTACCTGATACTTTTTAATTATTTTGGTATTTTCTGCTGCAACATAACTTTGGAATCAGACCTATTTAGTGTGTGGATTTTTGGACAGGAGTATCATATCTTGACACGCGACTTCTGTGTTAGCATTGTGGACCTAGATTAAAACGTGGAACGTGCAACATGTTAATCACAGTACATTATGTTTTCAGATACTACAGCATGCATATGAATTTGCTAAATCGTCTCTAATAAATAGACATGTTGTATAAAAAACCCTTATATTTGCATCTTCCTGATTTTTCATATCTAACCAGTTTACCTAAAGATCATGACTTTTTTCATCTCTAGCTCTTCATCCAGGCAAACAAATACAGAATTTTATATTGGTATTAAAAAAAATCTGAACTTCAATGTTAAAGCTATTGATGCAACGTTAATATTTTGTTTTTTTACAAGTATACTATGAATTAACAACATAAAGGTGCTACTAGAAGGTGAATATTGTTGGGCTTTTTACCCCTTTATATTTGACTTCTTGTAAGAAATAAGAGGTAAAGGAAAGAACAGAATGTATATCAACATACAATTCTGTTTGTAGTTCCTAAGCATCATAGAATGAGAGGAGTACTGCACATTGATGTTCTGTGCTTTACTTCTCTGCTTGGGAGGTTGTGTATTTATCTTGACCACTGATGCATTGGGAGTAGTCTCAGTATTGTATCCATGGCCTCCTCATATAGAAGCAAAGACAAGATGCAAGGGATGTGGTTTAATTAGACCCCAATTTTATTAGCTTAGCCATCTGAGATTTACTGGCATAGATTTGTACAGTGCAGGTCAAGATCCTTTCTTTAATCATTTCTTTCTGGTTTAGGTTGCTATCAGTCGCCCATTGCCACACAGCTGGTCCCCAGCATGTTACTGGAATCCCAGTCTGTATGCTTTTAATCCAAATGATAAGAGCTCTGGAAAAGAGCCTGTCTCTTCGGTATACTTCAGACATTAACCCCAAACATAATTCTTAGCTTTTTAATCAGTCACTTTCTCCTAACTTAATTTCCAATTTCAAACTTTTTAACCCAGTTTTAAGATGAGGTTTAGCGTGGAAGGATAGGTTAATGTTCCTTATTTCTGCACTTGGGGTAGGTGTGCTAGAGCTAAATCAGTATGCCCATTAATTCAAGTTACTTACTCAAAAGGGTTATTGGTTCCTTTTTTAACTTCTGCTCCAGGCCTACCTCCATGTTTTCAGACTCTGTGTCAGAGTTTTTGGCTTTTTTGGCAACAGAGAAAATAATGAATGTGCTGTCTTAGTCCATCTTTATTATACATTATTTTGTTACTCTTTGAGCAAAATAAAGGTAACATTGACTTTTGTATCAGATCTGTATATAACCCCTATTTTTAAGTAATACCAGAACAGCTGGGCTAATATTCTAGGATCAGAATGAATTAATGACCTGGGAGGAAGAAAGCTGTGTAGGTAATCATTTTCTATTTTATTCCACTGTTTTGTGATTTCACTTATAGAAAAATAAATCTTCTCAGCAGAATCTTCCTCAACTTTTCCTTGCCCACAAAATCTGAAATGATTTTTTTCTTCAACAGGAGTTCTTTGTCATGTACCTAGATGCATTGGATATTTTTAGACGTATTTTGTTTAAATAAATAAATAATGTATTGTAAAATTTCTGTAGAAAAATAGTTGTTGCTGTAGCCTGCAGTGAGAGCTAAGACGATGATCGATGTAGTGCACTAATAAGAAATTAATTGCACATTTTCTGTAGCTGGAAACTTTGACATAAATACTCCTATAATTGTCAGAATTGAAATGATCCCAATAAAAAGTAATTTTTCACTTCTGAATTTGAATAATTTGTTTCATGGTATCAGTACCCCAAACCTGTTTAAATCAAATGCTTTCATTCACTGTTGAAAAAAACAGTTAATGTTGATTGTCAGAAGCCATGGGGTTTACATCTGTACATCATAAATTTCACTATCATCTGCTCCTTTCTTTACTAAAAAGAGAAAAAAAAAAAAAGCCCCCTGCTTAAAAAAGAAAGGGAGGAGGAGGGGGGAAGAAAAAGCCTTTGAAGACATAGGAGCCTTTTGTTTGATGTGTGGAACAAGATTAATAAAAATGTACCACTACATTAGCTTTTAGATAGCTAGTATGAGACAGTGCTGGTATCTATTCTCACCACAACTTTAATTTACGTAGATAACATGTTTTAGACACATGATATTTAGTGTTGCATTAGGGCTGTTTCTTGAGGAAGATCTCAGGTTAGTGAGTGTGTTTATCTTCTGTGTAAGGACAATTAACTGGGCAATGCCAAAACACAATAGGATTAGATATTTTACAGAATAAAAGGAAAGTATTTCATCACGTACTCAGCTGGTTTACAGATGTGTAAGCTTTGTAATTCATTTTCTTGCTCCAACATGGCAGTGTGACAATTTGTCCAATATGTCTAAAATAGGTAAATATTGGGACAGAAATTACATTTTCAAATGCTAAAGATTTATTCTGATTTCATAATATTTTATATTAATACAAGTCAGAATTGGTTTCTTTCCCAAACTTGAAGAAGCTGTGAAAACAATGGGGTTTAGTTTTCACTGAAGTAAGGAAAGACATCTAAATAAATATTTATTTAAATTTTGAATTATTTTAAACATCTTTTCTGTTAAACATTACTTTCTCAAATTAATCTTGGAATTGCAACAATATAAAACAGCTACATGGACATTCGGTGATTTTCATGTAGTTAGACACACCTGCAGCTTGTTGAGTGCTAACCTTAAGTTCTCATAGTATAAATTACTAAGTTGCTTTTTCATAGCAGTATTTGATACGTTTAAACTCAACTGGTAATCTACTGGCACATAATGATAATCTACTAGCAACAAGTACTTTTGAAGGTGGAAAACAAGTGAATGTAAAACAAATAATCACTTTAGGCATAGGATTGTTTTCCTGTCATATAGTTTGATACAATGACCAGTGATGTAGATATATATTAATTCGAGCTCTGTCATTATGTGGTAGGGTGTTTATTTACCTAAATTGTGTAGTGTGGATTATGGATGAAGAAATTAATTGGGTATTACACACTAATCTTCTCTCAGATATGTTGTGATTTGCAAAGGATTTCAACCTATCAAAACAAAAACAATTAGATCTTTAAGCTCATGATGAATTTCTTTTTAATACAATTTTGAAGGCTAAACATTCGGGACAATGTGGAAATGATCAAGATCCGTAAACAGCTGGTTGAGAAAAGCAATGCTCTTTCAGCAGCAGAAGGAAAATTTCTTCAGCTTCAAGAGGTAATTGCAATTTGGTCAGCAGCATTCCTTTACTCTCATCACATAAGCATGCATAAATGGAAAAGAAATATACACAGTTCTTGATTCTGAGTCAGTACTATGTACATGAAAATGAACTACATAATCCATTGCACCCAAACTACTCCAAATGTTTATAGAGATTTTTGGTAATAAATTTTAATTTTTCTATTTCTTGCAGAAGGGTCTAGCAGGTCTTAAAAGATGTTTTTCTGCAAAGCTATCCCAGGCAGACTGTGGAGAATGAACTGAGGTGTCCGGCTATCAAAAGAGATTCCTGGTCATTTAAAGAGAGTGCTTTGACTTACATGTACTGATTTACCGAAGAAGGGGTACCATACCCCCCTCACTTTATCAGTCTTTGATAAAGTTGGAGAGGTTTGACTGATGAGAGTTTTGATGTTACGGATTAAATAAATTGTGCTTTTAAGTTCATGGAAATTATTTGAGGGCTACTGTAAGTCATGCATTTTCTTTCTAAAAAGAGCAGTTTTATGAAAATGTCACCAGCACATGCAATTACATGGTAGACTCCAGGTGGGCTTTAGTTATACAGCATTTTTCTGCTTCTTCTCATATGTTTTTGGAGAACTTCATGTGCATACAGGCAGAGGTAGTATGATAATGACTTGGAAATGGGAGAATCCTGTGAGTAGGAATCCTGTGTACAGTGGAGCTTTCTAAAGTATCTTAGCCTTCTGAGGTGAAAGCACTTAGATATACTTGTAAACTGTTACTGCTGCCTGCTTCTTGTTATTGTAGCATGCTAAATAACATTTGTGCCATTAGATTTTTGTTTTGTTCCTTTTTCCGCTGTTTTTCTGTTTCTATGTTTTGCTTTGCTTCCCTCCCCACTTCAGTGTGATGCCTGTATCTTCTTTGCCAGAGCAGCACTTCTTTTAGTAGCTCAAATTTAATTTTTCACAGGGTGAGCTATGTAGAATGAAAATTCCAGGGGAGACAGGTTTCATGTGTTTTTTTGTGTTCTTAAATAGAAGGCAATAAGTAAGCTGTTCTATTTTAAATCATATGCGACTTTTTGGTAATTTACAGCAAACATCAAGTAGTTACGCGCTTTCTTGGCAGCAGCTGAATAGGAACACATGCCTAGGATTCAAAGTGGTGTTTGAAGGTGTTGTTTCTAATATTCATACTGAGAACTGAATTTTTGAACAGGATGAGTAAGTTTGCTGTCTCTCTTTTTTTTTTTCTTTTTTTACAAGATAATGGATCCAATGGTTGTCCAATTTTTTGAAATCTGTCTACTGAATAACTGTAATATCCAAAATTTCTGATTTAGAGGGCATGTACTTCCAAACAGAACAGTTGTTAGTATTTTTATGTTGATTTTTTTTTGTGCCAATTGTTTTCATTGTCATTTGCTTTAAGCTTGAAACCCATATAATTCCTCTATGTTCATCTTCGAATTTGATTCAACCAAAAATGTGAAACCACAGAATGAGAGCCTAGACTCCTGCTCCATCTAATCATATTGAAGTTGGTCTTGCTACCAGACATTTACAGGACATTTTGTTGGTAAAGAATTTTAATGTAGCCAGTTGAATGAAGGAAATGTACAATCTGTTTAGAAGAACAAAGGACCCTGAAATAGTTTGGATTATATGTTTGATGCCATTGGTATACTTGTTTCCTTCAGTTACAGACTGAACATTCAGGATTTCATAATTTGTAATAGTTGCACAGGTTAGCAGATTTACTACAATTTTAGACACTCCAGAGAGTTAATTCTTGTGAACAGCTGGTACGGCAATTTCACAACTGTGATTGAGAGCAGCTTATGTTCATTTGTGCAGTATTTCTAGAAGGCGTAGATCCATTTTCTTTAAATGAGTTATTTCTAATTAACAGAATATCAAGGCCTGTTTCCCGAAGATAAAAAAGTCCAGACTAGAAATATTAAAGTCATTATCCCAGTTGTTGCCATGACCTGAGTCCTGCGATACTCCAGGAAGGGCAGGAGAGAAAACTGTTTGGGCATATTAGAAAAAATTGCTGGTGGAACACTCAGATATAGAAGAATATCCAGGCAAAGAACACATTTTGCAATAAAAAAATTAAAAGCAATAATGAGGGTGAAGTCATGGTTCCCTTAATGAGGAGGATTAGTTCAAAATGGTCAGGAGAGTAGCAGAAATGCAGAAGCACTGGAACAAAGTTAAAGCAAGGGAATTTTTCAGGAGGATATTTTTAGTGCTTTAATGAGATGATTTGGTAAATACTAGTATTGAATTTGTTTTCAATTGTTTTGGAAATGAAGGAAAGAGATGAGGGTGGAATGGTCTATGAAAGCAGCTTTGCAAAGTGTTTTGGGGTTGTGGGTTTTTTTTCTTCAAATGTCGTGAGTTGAAGTGAAACAAGTTATTGAAAGATACAGGAAAAAATTGAAGCTGAGAGATGAGAAAGAAAACATGAGTTCACCTGGACAGTTCTAAGTGCTAGAGACAGTAAAGATTCTGATTTTGAGGAGAAAGGAAAGAAATTTGGAGAGAAATGAAAAGAGTGTAAAAGAATGATTTTTAAGGTGTGATTTTTTTGAAGTTATTGAAATACAATTCACAGCTATAGAACAGAGCAAGAGGAACACTAGGGAAAGACTTATAAATTTATGAGTAATACAGTTCATTATCACTCTGAAATAAGGCTGACTGCTATTCTCCATGATATTTTTCTTCCTGAGAAAAGAGATATGAAAGGCTGAAGATCAAGATAGTGATTGGGTTTCTGTGGGGGTTTTGCTTGTTTCTAGGATAATCTGACTGCATGTGAACCTAAACAACTTCTAAGGATTCACATTCAGTTTCTCCGTTTAACCACTTTGTAGGAATATTGTATGGAAAAAATGAAGCTAACTTTTTTTCTGTCTACATCATAAAACATTATCTATACTCCTACGTATATATGACATAAATTTTCATATGATCGTTTTATTAAACAGGACATTAGCTTTTGGGCTGTTTTGTTTCAAGTCATACTTTGTGATCTACATTTAAATTCTTAATGAATGAACCTTTATTAAAGCATTGTGGAATGTAAGCAGTGTAATATTAACTAATATTCTGGAAATAGAGGTTCTATCAGCATCTTCCATTTAATATTAAAATTGGTTGAATGTGCCTTAATATAATCCATAGATGTAAATTAAAATGTTAAAAAAATAAAATTAAAAAAAAAAAGAAAATTATAAGTCCCACGTTAAATTACCGCCAGCAGGGAAATAGAACTGAGCACATTAGGATTATGAAACAATTATGTATCTACCATTAAGGGTTAACAGAACTGTGGCAAGCTCTGTGATTAACACAACTGAGGTCAACATTCATTTTTGCTTGCTACTGCAGTGCTTTTGGTCAGCATGTCTAACCACTGTAACCACACCAAAATCTAATTGCTTAACAGATGTGTTTCTTGGTTGTTTTCACCATGACTGAACTTAGGGCTTAATGTTCCTGAGAGCAACAAGAGTGCCACCTTCTCCTGATCAAACATAATGAAAGTTGTTTTCAGTTATGTAGTTCAAGAGTGTCTCCTGTTGTCCACATTGAGAATATATATTAAATACTGCCATAAGAGACCCCAGGTTGAATGTGCAATGTTTTAACATTCAAGTAAGTATGTTTTGGTTGGTTTTGTTTTGTTTTTTTCCTGGATTTTCCTTTATTTCTTTTCATAGAACGAAAGGAACTTGAAAGCCAACTATGATGCCTGTATAGCAAAAGTTGATGAACTGAATCTACAGCTTAAAGAGGAGCGGTTAAAGTGCCTTCATCTTGAAAAAGAGCTGCAGTCTATAACCATTTCAAACCGACGGACAGAAGAGGTGAGGTTGTCTTCAAGAGAGCTAGAATCTGCTTTATGTAGCACACATAGGTAAGGGGAAAGTAACCATGGGATATCTTCTAGTTGTGGAGATATAAACATACCTTGGGATAAAAACAGCTTGTGTTTGCAGCTTGCATTTCATAAAATCATTAACCATACCTGGTCCCAGTACCACATAATCACTGGGGCAGTTATTGGACAATATTTGAGGTTAAAATATAGGATTTCATGTCAATTCTGATACTAAATAAGTGGTTTGTTAACTGGAAAAAATCATAACACTTGATTTATTGAACACATATTGCTAGTGTGTTAGTATTATTTCAATCCAATTTAATTACAGTATAGTGTAGAATTACATCTTAACAGTTCAAATCAATCAGTTCTGTGTCCTTGTCTAATAGCTCTCAGAGACTAGTGTCGTCAGTAACAGTCACCCAGAGATAGGGCTAAAAATCGAGTGGTTTATTCCTCATTCTTTTCAACATAGGGGAGTAAGAGTCTGCAAACTTATTTGGGGTTTTCTCACGTATTTGTTTTTTCTTTGTTGTAATGCATGTAGGGTGTATCTTAGGGCTTAAAGCATCTCATATTTTTAGAACCATATCCTTCTTTCATGAGTGTTTTGAAAGCAAGGTTTTTTTGCTTCTATAAAGGCTATTAAGAAAATTACTGTACAGAAGCCATTAAGTAGCTAATATTAATACTCACTAAAGTAGAATAGAAATCTTTAATCCTATGGATTTTCATTTTTTTTTCCATAAGGCAGAATGTGATAGGTACTGTTGTTCAACTAGACATGTTAGTCTGAGGTTCATATAAAAAGGACTGTCTGGGCCAAAGTAAATCCATGTGTTGAGAAAAAAAAAAAAAAGGTGTTATTTGGAAGGTTCTAAGATACTGTTGTATAAAAAGAACAAATGAAAGCCTGATAAAACGTTAACTATTTGTCTTTACACCTTCGTTGTAATTTTGTTTTGTGCTGTGCATTTCTTGAAACTTTCTCCTTTGTTTTAGTTACAGGAAAGAATAAATGATCTAGAAAAAGAGAAGGAACTCTTGAGGGAGGACTATGATAAGCTGTATAACAGGTAAGTTATGGTTTTTGCATATACAGAATTGATTCCTGACCTGTTTAGTAGGCCTTCGTATACTGTGTGCTTAAATGTACATATTGTGTGTCGTGAACACGTGTATATATTCGTGCTACAGTTCATCATATCAGTAGGTGTATATGGAAACTTTTATGGTCGTCCATTTCATCTGTTCTGTGGAAAAGCAGCAGCTGCCATATTTGCTCTAATACTCTGAAAGTAGTAAATCACTTCTTTTTAAAAATATCTAATTAAAAAAGTGTATGTCTGTTTTTAACATCAACATAAATATTTCTTATTTTAATTTCTAATAATTTTTTAGGGTTATTGTTGAAAGAATACATCTAGGTAGACACATTTTCCTGTGCGTTTATTTTATTCATTATCATTTTATTTTGGGAAAATGGGGTTTTGAACTTTTTGTATGAGTTCTTGCAGTACTTCTTAGTGGACCTATGTAATGTTTGGTATTTGCTATCTTCTTCATTGTTTATTTCTGAGGGGTGGTTTGTTTGTTTTGGTAATAGCTAAGATTTCACTTCTGCTTTTGCTTGAAATTTTTTCTGGGCTTATGTGAGCTTTTACAAAAGTTCCTATGCATAGTGAGTTATATGGACTGAATCAGAAGTGCATACAATGCAGAATACGTTAGCAGATATGATTCAGAAATTCTCTGGTACAGAAAAGAAGTAATAATAGTCAATTGCATATTAAATAGTCAATAGGCATATTAAAGGAAAAAAATGACCTTCAAATGAACTTTTCCTTTACTGTGAAACCATGTCTTTTGTATTGAAGAAGGTTAGAAAATAAGATAAATGGCCTAGAGCTAATAATTGCCTTGGAAAGTAGGCAAAATGCTTGAAGTCTTTTCTCATATCAAAATTGTTTCCCCTCTTGAAGTTTGTCACTGTGATGTCTGTCAAAAAGTACAAATTACTGAAGACAATGTGATAGCAAATGTTGTTTACAATATTATTACATTATTTATTAAACTTTTTGTACTTTCTGTGATGAAATTAAAAATTATAGTAGGAAAAACAGAGTATAAAGCTTTTTTTACATGTGAGTCGTAACAGTTGTGTAATCACAGTATTTAGAGTTTTGTATAGGGGGAGTTGGTCTTGCTTAAGTTCATTGTAGATTTCTCTGAAGTCTGATCATGTTATAAATATTTCTGATTATGAGATTTTATTTTCCTCTAACATTATGCAGAGAAATATGTCTTACAAATCAACTGATAATTTAGTGTTGGAATTTTCTGTTTAAATAAAATCTTACTGAGATAACTTAAAAAAATGTTTAACTAGGCACATTGAAATATGGTTCTGTCATAACAGTGATCTACACGTGGCTTTTCTTTTACCTAAAAATGTCTATCTTTTGCATATATTGCCATTTAAACTTTGATTCATGTATCATCATTCCATGTTACTGTACAGGTAACAAGAGGTGAGAAAGAAAAATGGCTCATTTAATTGTAACTGTTGTTTCATGGCCAGCATGTTCTTTTGCCCATTTGAACCATGTGACTTTGCTATAGCTAACCCGTTGCTAGCAGTGGATAGGCCAGTGTCCACAGGTGCCAGGTAATTAATAAATACTTCCTTCTTTTTTTTTTTTTTTCCTAATGTAGAAAAAGAAGCATAAGTGCAGTCTTTGCTAATGTTATTTTTGGAGAAGTTCATTTAAAGTTGATGGGAATTTTGCCAAAGGCAAGACTGACGAGCTGGATCTGAAAAGTTTACAAAGAACAAATATGAATTTGTCAATTGACTCTTATTATTTAGTCAGTATCCAAGAAAACAGTTTGTTTGGATAAAAGGTTTGGTGTAATTGTTTTCATATGACCTTGTAATGCAAATCTAGCAATGCTTAAACCCCCTCCAGAGGAAATGGTGCCAGATGTGGCTGACCATTTATAGTTACCCAGATGGCTCCAAGTCCACTGAAATACAGTAAATGTGAAAGAAATTCCACATGAGTTCAAGTAAAAGTAATCTTAAAATTCAAAGGAAGAAAATGTCAGAAGTCAATTCAATTCAAACTGACAGAAACATTAGCATTATAGGCTTGGATAAAATCTGTCTTCCAAAATGTTCCTCATTTAAACATCTTAAAATCTGAATTACTATCAGAGTAATTCTTAGTGGTTTTTCTGAAAGAGTAGCCTTTTGAAAAACTAAAATAACGTGTAGCTGCATCTTGATGTGCAATAGTTGTACCTGTAGTTAACAAGTGCACATGTAACTAGGTATCATGAAGATTTTAAAACGTGCTTGGAAGTGTGGCAACTAAGGGCATTTGGCATCTTGCTAAGATTTACTCTTTCCTTAGGGGAGCCAATCAAACTTTGAAGAGTGGTAAGTCTAAGTAGTATACCCTGTGTCTCTTCTGTAGCTGTACAGTGTTATGGAAATGAATGTGGGTTCAGTGCATTATATTTGCTCCACATTATCTCCAAAATTATAGCAGAGTGAAGTAAGCATTAATGTAGGACTTAGAAGCATTGCTTAAGCTCATGTGTGCTGTAAAAGACACTCTATCACACTGTAAGATGGTATATGCCTACAGAACTGTATAAATAGGTGAGATTAGATGCAGTCTGAGAAAAAGACAAAATACAGAGAAGTAGAACTGGTTTTATGAAGATCAGAAATCAAGAATATAACTCTTGCCATATACTTCAGAGTCCACAGTCCATGCTATAATATTTTTTTTTCTTTAATCTTAAGGCCATTCTTCAAATATATTAGATAAAAATGCACTTCTGTGTACTTATGTAGTCATAGCCATCAGACAGTTCTCTTTCAGTCAGCATCTACAGTAGGTAAACCTGTGTGGGCTGTCCTGTGATTTCCTTCAACTCTGTGTTTGGTTGAGGCTTTTGTTGCCTATATCTCTGGGAGAGCTAAATTGATAGATACCAGAAGACTTTTATTTAGCTATAGATTTATATTTTTTTTAACTAGTGAGCTTCACCAATGTGAAAAGTAGAGGAACTTACTCTGTTTTTCTGAAAAAAACCTACAATTTCTAATTTTTCACAGAGTACAAAACTGGATAAACCGGTTTATGATTGGTTAAGATGAAAGACAATTTTCCAGACAATAGGAATGCAAGTATTGAATAATAATAATATGAAGACCATAGCACTCATTGTCTAAATTACATGAAAACACATTGCATTACTTACTCTTTTTACCTACTGTAAATTATATAATGTACTTAATTTGATTTCAGTCAGAGTTATACATTTTGTTGTGGTTTCAGCAGTTCTGTGTCCATGCAATCCTTATTGCACAGAGATTGGTGACTTCTAAGTAACTAATGTGTTACAGGCAGAAGAGTTACTCTAATTTCTTGCCCACCTCTGTTTTTTATTTCTCAAAGTAGGAGAAATTACTTCATATGTGCTTCTTAATCAGTATCAGAATTGTTGTTTTACAGTATGAGAAAACTGTTGTCACTTTGTGGTCAACATTTCTTTGAATGGGCAACTGACTTTAGGCTCTGCATGTTTCACAGATTTAAAAGAAATCAGGTGGGTGATCCGGGTTCTCTACATTAAGAGGTTTTGTATGTGGAAAGAATGGTTTTGTCAGTTGCTGAGGTTTGGAATTGTGGATAACTCTGGGATATGCATCTGAATTCCTTTTCTAGTCCCACAAATATTGCATGCTGCCAACTTTTCTGATTTTGGAGCTCTAAATTGAGGCCAGTTCCTTTGCTCATCCCACACACTCTTTCATGTTTTTTAACCGCAGCCTGAGAAAGGCGCCTTGGTTTCAACAGCAGCAGACCAGCATATGTTTACTTAATTCCTGAGACATGATGACAGTGGTCTCTATGCCACTAAAAGCTTTTTTCTTTATTATATTCTGTTGAAGCTGATTTCTAAAAGTTTTTCATATGCCACATGTTTTATCGCAGTGTCTTCAGTATGACCCATGAACAGCAATGGAAATTAAAGGAACAGCAACTGAAACTGCAAATTGCTAAACTAGAGACTGATTTAGCAGACAAAAATGAAATCCTTGACAAGATCAAAGTAGAAAGAGGTATATTTCTGTAATAATTATTATTTTCTCATGATGTGAGATTCTCCTGTGTTGCAGTTCAGGTATATTGCCCAGAAGAGTGTAGTTTCTCTTGTTGGTGATTTCAGTTGATCTTTTAAGTTGATCAATATGCTTAAGTTATGACTAGCTGTTAAGTACAAAAATTGATCCAGTACAGGTTTTGTGCTGAATGAGGATCATATAACTCCAGCTGCATTCAATGTACATCTGTTGAGTTAGTATTTGCTCTTTATTCCGTATTTCTTCACTTCTCTACCTTGAAAATTCTTACAGAAAAGAGGACTCTCTGACAGTCCCTCTCACATTATAAACCACTATTTTATTTACTGTACAAAGGTACATGAAGCCTGTATTGGCCCTTGAACATGTTTAATTGTCTTTCAATATTGTGAATTCAGATTTTTTTTTCATATTTTCAGTACACATGAATCTTTATTTACAGCTATGTACATTTAGAAGAAAACTGTATTATTGTAATATACTGAACAGATTATTTCGTATGTGTTTTTCCTGTGCCGTAAGACAACTCTCAGTGGATCTTTAAGACCTTGGCAATGCTTTCTTTTTTTTATCTCAGTACTGTGGTATACTGTGGCAGCAAAGTTTATAAAACAAGAGCACAGGCAGTAAGTAAACTAAGTATTTTTAGAGTTGGTTCTTCAAATGTGTATTTTTAAATTATGATTTTCCTTGATCTAATAGAATGAAGTAGGCCAATTTGTTGTGAATAATTCTTATGATTATGGCTTGAGTTTGGCATATACTTACCATTCAGATTCAAGTAGATCTACTGAGTTCAAATACCACGTTAAATATTTAAACATTTTACTTGACCACAGCAAGTGTTTACAAAATTAACGTTAAGTGATACTAAAATAAAAAAATAAGGTGCCTTAAGCTATAATTATAGAAAGTTATGTCATATTGACAGAGACAGTTGCTTATGACACCTTGATTATGCAATGCAAAATGTAAAGTGATACTAAAACCTTGAAAATGTCATAGGCCATACTATTGTTTGGCTAAGATGAATGTGGAAAATCGGGTGACACCTTCCATCTTCTGTCATTCTGTCCGTGCCTGAGTGACAAGACTTTACCACTCCGTCCACAGATTGGCTTGGTGTACTCTTAAACTGGATCACCAGGTTACTACACTTTACCTTTCTATTGAATTAAACATGCTGGCAGATTGAGTAGATGTTGTAACACCCTTCAAGGCCTATATCTAGGATCTGATTACAGCTTCTTGTCTAACAAAACTTAGGAAATATAAGTTTCTTCCATAACACACTTCAGCATGCCTGTCTTTGCTGAACATCCCTTTCAGTTCAGCAGCAAAACTGGAGTACTCTTTGCCTTAACCTGCTGCCTGGAACTGGTGTAGAAATACTGTCTTGTCTAATCTTGGTAGCTTGGCATGTAATTTTTTTTTTTTCAAAACTTCTTTGCCAGGACTAAGAAAGATGTTAAAATAAATGAAGTCTTGAAAATTCTTAATGCTACAGGGCTAACATCATCTTGCCCTTTTCCCTGTCCTCCTTCAGTATTTCTTTTTTGAAGTGATCATGTAATTTCAGTTTTAATTTTTTAGTAGTATTTTTCTATCCATAGCTTCATAGTGCATTTTTAGTACCTAAAAGAAATATATTTAGACAGAAAACAGAACAACTTATTTCACATTTTTACTATATTTGCCTGTGGGTTTTTTATTTTAGGATATGGTATTTGCAGATGCTTTATCATCCTTCCCGTGCCCTGATCCCCTTAGTCATTTATTCTCGTGTTTCTTGTATTTTGAATCTCTCCCAGATTCTCAGCCATGAATTACAGTATCTGTTTGGATCATATTCATTGTATCTTTCTGAGGGTGTTGTTTCATGCAAGTCTCAAAAGGCTGAGATAAACTAATACAAAATCTAAGTTGAAACAATTACTATAGCAAGGATTGCAATTACTATAGCAAGATATAGCAAGGACTTCTCATAAATTCATACAATGTCTTTAGTTGTTAGTATTTATGTCTAAAAATTTTTTATTTTTCATTAATATAACCTCATGTCTCGTTGTATTTGTTGTTCATATTCATAGTACTGTTTTGTACAGAGTACAAAATTTTCTAGATGCAGTTTCTTTCATAGTTGTCTTAATGGACAAATATTTATTCTATGTCACTGAAAGCTGATACGTGAAATACACAAGAAGCAAACATAGTTCACTCCCTAATACTATTCTCCTGCCCATAAAACTACAAAATAATCAGCATAAAAACAGTTCTAGTTTTATTCCATGGGTAACAAAGAAGGCAGTCATCTTGCCCTAAATTGGACCTCCACAAACAGAGGGTTTGGCAAGGAAGAAGGGGAAATGGCATGTGATGGTGGGTGGATTATGGGAGAGTAAGAAAAATTGGTCTCGTTTGCCTTGGAAGCATGTACTTTCTATTTACAGGAAAAGACAGTGATGGTTTTCTTTGCTTCTTCCCTGCTACCTGGTTGGTACTGGTCAGTCTAGAAGAAATTTTTCAGTGAATTTATGTAGGAAGTGAACAAATGTGGAGGCTTTTGCTGATTAAGATTCTAATTATTTTCATGTTTTGTGACTAGGAACAAATGTTTTGTGTGGAAGACACCAGTGCAAGTTTATTCAGATTAAGGTTTTGAATGGGATTGCAGATATTGGCACAATACATATTTTGATTCCAGCTGAGAAGTACTGTATTGTACATCCCTTAAGTGTCTTCTAAGGCCCTTATCAACACAGAGGGCTATTTGCAACTCTGTAGTCTGCTTCCACTCGTGGCTCTGTAGCCTCTCACACAAGCTGCTGTGTAGCATTTTCCAAAGTCTCCATGGCAGTGGATTTCTCTCTTTCTTGTTCTCTCCCTGTCATAGCCTTGCTTTTGAAACCCCTAATATTGTTGTGATGATGTGTTCTTGTGGGATGTGGTTACCAGCAGTGTGAGAATTGCCTCTTCTCTCCCCTCTCTTCTTCCCCTTAAGTTGCAGCCTTTGAGTTGAAGCAGGGGAAGCAAGCTAAGCAACAGCCAGCATGCAACACCAACCCTGATCCAAGCATGCTGTAATCAGTGCTGATAGTATTATAAGTGGAAACAACTAATGGAGAGTTGGAGTGGCTCCTGGTGAAAAACAGTGCAGTTATATGGGAAAACTGAATGGCAGGACCCTCCTGTCACCTCTGTTCCATAATGGATATTGCTGAGCTACTCCCTTTCCTCCTGCCTTTTTCCTTGTATGTCTTATGTTTATACCTTTCAATAAGATCATAGGAATCCACCCTGTTGAGAATCTGGGGAGGCAACATGGACAGTGCTAAGGTAGCCTGAGCAGTGCCATTGACAGATTGGCCCTTTTTCGTTCAACAGGCTGTTGAAATTGCCTTGATCTGAACAAAAGCTTATTTCCCTTCTACTTGCAGGCTTGAAGTTAACTTTTTAAGCAGCAAATATGAACAAATATTAAAAATGAATGCAAAAACTTCACTAGGGTTCACATCACAAAAAGAGTGGACTGATCTTGCTGTTGTCAGAAAATTCATGACAATGAGATAGAAGTCATTGGGAAGGGATATTTTGTTTCCTTATCCTGGGAAAAAGTGCCAATTCAGATCTCAGTTTATAATGTAGGGAAAAGAAACATCAGTATGAGGGCCCCATTTTCTGTGTGGGAGACCTTCCAACGGGCATAGGTCTTTTAGGTAAATTGGGTGAGTCCAGAAGACTCAATTCCTGGTGTTTCACCATCTTTTGTAAGGCCTGCCTTCTCTGCTCATTCGGAAGGCAGTTGTTCTCTTACTCACTTGTGAATTTGTAGCCTTTAGTGGTTTTAATTAAGTTTTCTTCCCAATTGCACAAATGCTTTGCATTTTCCTCATAACTGCAGAGAATTAAAACCTTACTGGCAATGATGTGTTTGAATTGAAAGTGACTCCTGTGGGGTCCCAACACATGTACAAGTCAGGCTACTGTGTATAGGAACAGTGGCATTACAGATGATTCATTTTTAGTGAAAATGTCATTTAATTTATAAACTGCAAAATTAAAACTATCCTGATGTCAGTTTTTGAAACATTTCAACATCCTTGAGACTGGTGTCTTGATCACATGTTTCCTGCTGAGTTTAAGCCTCTAAACTGCAAAGCTACTGTGTAAAAATAAAGTTGTGCATCATGCCCTGAGGGTCAACAGAAGAAATTCCAGCATTGAAAAGACATTGTGGCCTATTTGTTTGAAAGCAGTAGAATAGGTTCCTAAATCCCATGATTGCAGGTGGGAATCACAAAGGCAAATACTTGCACCTCAGGTTGACAGTTAATATTTACATTATTCTAACCTAAAATATGAGTTCATAGTACTTAAATACATGGTATGAGACTATAACTTTGGGACTTTCAAAAAAGCACAGGAAAAAAAATGGAAGGGGCAAAAAACTTTGTTATCAAGAGAATAAGGAGTTTGGCCAGGGAGAAAAGTGAGAGAGTACTTTTGTTCCTTAGAAACCTCAATGATTCTGAGAAAAGCATGCTTTTAAAACTTTTTCATGTGAAGGTATGTTGTCACAACTCAATTATTTCACCTAATCCTTAAGTTTTTTCTCAGATCTTACTGAGCAATTATTGTGGATGTAGCTATGCATGAGTGAATATTTGTGTAGAATCTGTGTAACCCTCTGTCAGTAAGTTTAATGGTGTTTACCCATTAAGACTGACAAAGTTTTATATTCTACTTCCTTCTTTCCTCTCACCTTCCAAAACAGGAAGCTGTACTCAGTTGGGCATATCTTTCTATTTAGAAATACACAGTGTAGATTTTTCACACTGTAAGTTCCCTTTTAATGAAACTAAGAATAGTTTGCTTTTGTTTAATACATACACCTATACCAGGTCAAAAAGAAGTAGTTTTCTATCTCTGTTAATACTAAAGATTTTCCTATAAAAAATAAATCAGTTTCTACATTTAAAAATTAAAAATTCATGCATTAATTCATATGAAAAAGTAGGTTTATAATTTTTATAATTATGTTGAATTAAGTAAAATATTTTGTTCTTCTTTTTTGACATTAAGACCAAAAGGAAAAGCTGGTGCAAGAGAACAAAGACCTGCAGTTACGCTACCTGGAACATAAGCAACAGCTCGATGAACTGAAAAATCACATGAAGTTTTTGACCAAGGTGAACTTTGTTTAGAATATGAGCAAAAACCTCCATTTTATATTTTATGCGTAGCACAAATACTTCTTGAAAGTAAAAGTATACAGAAATATAACTATTTATTCATGCTATCAAGCAAAATGCCATGTCTAGTGAGAATGCGTCTTGTTATTCTGAACCTATTTTTTCAATATCCATTCACATCTGATAGCACCTTTTCATTAAGTATTTCTGTTTCAGGAAAGTGATATTGATGTGGGAGAACTCAGTGAAGCCATCTTGCATATAAAGGTACCTAACAAAGAATGAGCATATAGGGGATTGGAGCTAGGTGATCTTTAAGGTCCCTTCCAACCCAAACCATTCTAAGATTCTCTATATTTTGCATTTGATTGATCATTATGTTGCATGTTTTCTACACAATTTCTAAGTTTTTCAAGGGCTTCTTTATTTGTGCATCTTTCAGTAGCTAATGCTTCAAGCTCGTAAGTGTGCTTTTATCATTTTTTGATTTCAGTAAAGCAGAAGGGAAGATAAAAAAACTGGCAGGATGAAATCTAGATTTATGTAGATAATTGATTAACTTTTGATGTTAGAATGAAACAAGATCCACAAGCTTTTTTTTTAAAAAAAAATCCTTTTTCTCAGTTAACTTATCAAACCAGCTTGTTTTTCCTATATTTAAATTATCTTTTTATTAATAAATAAATAAATAAATTATGATTGTTTATTAAAATGTATGCTTATTTATTAATTCTTTCTTAATTATTACTAATTTATGGGGTATACTATAAGCATGGAAATTGTAAAATGCAATATAGCAATGCTTAGCAACTTTGTTTATTAAAACAAAAAACAAAAAATAGCCAGAAAATGTTATATTTTTTTTCTCTTGTACAAATTGAAAATTAAGTCAGGTTGAGGGGAGGAAATCAGTGAAAAAATAAGTGTGCATTAAGTTTCCAGTGTTCCAGGGAGTTAGGGTTTATTTCCTTAAGTGCTTACTATAAATGGTACCTTTTTCTGCTACTGAAATGCAAATGATATTTCTATCAAGATAATGAACATAAGAAAGTAAAACAAACAAAATCCAAAACCATACAAATGCAAAACCCAGATGAAAATTTAAACTCCAGTATTAATAACAGGAACAATGTAGACTTGAGACTAATAATAGAGATTTTGTACATACACTGAAGCGGGATTATTGATTAAGGGTTCGTATTTTCACTGGATAAACAGGAGTGATTGCTTCTGAGTATCTCATACATTTTAATTGATTCCTGATAATCACAAGATGACAGTACAGAATACAATCCTGACACTGATCTACCTCATTTGTACTTTTTGTGTTACTACATGCTCAAGATTTACCAAATAATGCTTACTGTTCTTCCAAAACTATATCCCAGTATTATGTTTAACCAAACACAAATACTTCCAGATATATTTGCAAAAGTGTGTTTTAGTAATTTTCCAAATTTACTCCAGGTTCAGAAGCAGCAGCAAAATGAGGACCTTGTGTTTTTGGAAAAAGTAGAAGATGATAACCGTAAAGATTTAGAGCATTCCATGCGGGAGCTGCAACTAACACATGCAGAAACAGTGCAAGAACTGGAAAAGACAAGGAATATGTTAATACTGCAGCACAAAATTAACAAAGATTACCAGGTACTAAATTCTGCTCACAGTGGAAAATAACCTGATAACATTTTTAACATTTGTAGCCCTAAAACTTTTCGTAATTAAGACTTGCAAGTTCAGCAACAGAGCCAGTCTGTTTATAGGTAACCTAACATAAGATTTGCTGGTTTCGAAAGCATTGTTTAGAAGCATGAGATCCAAATTACTTTAATTTTAGTCTTTTAACCCACCCTGGTCAGATCCCTTTCTTGAAATTATCTCTGAGCTCTTATCAGGTGCTCACAGGGAAAACAGTAAATGTATTATCAAATAATCTTCCTTCTCCAGAACACCCTGCTTTTACTCTCTTGAGCTGGGTAATTGCAAATCATATCTTGACTTTTCATTCAATTAATCTAAATTTAAAATAACAAAATCATTAGAAAAACTTCTTAGGAGCATTGTCCTAAAAGCATAACTAGTTTTTTCATAATAATGTTTTTAGATTTTGCTGCAATTTCAACTGATGGCTGTGTTGTATTACTGAACTAAAAATTGCTGCTGGTTTTTTGTGTACTTTAAATGTTCTTTTCTCAAATCTAACTATATTTTAACCTGTAGATGAAAGCCTGTGCAGCAGTAGTGTAGACAAGCCTCAAAAGTCCTTTTTTACATGCCAATTTTTTTCAGAATGAAGTAGAAGCAGTTACACAAAAGATGGAAAGTATGCAAAAAGACTGTGAGGTAAAACTGGAACAGTTTGTCCATCTTCTTGATATTAGAGCTGCACGCATCAGAAAACTGGAAGGTATTTTCCAAGTACATTCTTCTCTCTTTTTTTTTTTTGTATTTCATGTCATGCAAATGATTGTTGTAGGTTCCTTCTTCAGTGTTTCCTTGAAACATTTTTCTGCTCTTAAAAAATAGTAATAGGTCAGTTCTTTCATGGAGAATTACGTGTTTTGTGTCACTGAATTAAATGATGAAGTTATTAATCGAACAAAATTTAACAAAGCAGTTTATGCTGCAGCTATTGATGAATAAGAATGGAACTACCAAACTTAGATAATTTTTTTTTCAGTGAACATTTATGATCAACCTTTTATTTTGCTGTCCTATCATTACATAATAATTTCATATGTTGCTAAAAAATCCCAAAGTCATGGTATAATATGCCAATGAAATATTTCAATCTGATGGATTTAAAATGTTGGTTTAATGACTTCAGTGTCTAAGATCCTTACATGTAAAGGTCTTTGCTGATAATTCTGTCCACTTGGGATATTATATAGGACAGAGGCCAAATGTATTCTTCCCCTGGCAACCCCGTTCAACCTTACCAACATACATATCTTTAGTGTCTTTTTGCATTTGCATAGTTGTACTTATTTGGATCATTGCATGAGACTCCTGAATTTTTGCTTGTTAACTCCCTAGTAATCTGACAATAATTGTTAGGGGCCTGTGTCTATTTTTTATGTATATTGAAGCAGCAACATTGTGAAGGTATTCTTGGTTGTTGTCAGTTTTTGTGCTAAATATCGGTTTGTATTGGTTGTCTTGCTTGTGCTAAATAAGCACCAGATGTATAACTTGAAGGGTGTAATTACTTTTTGGGCAACACTTTTAAGAAAGTAACATTGTTAATATAATTGCATTATGATTTTTTCCTCTCTATTTAGTCGTTAATTGCACTTTATTTTTAAACAAGATGGTCATGTTGTAGCTCTATTTTATTTTATTTGTTGCAGCCCAACTAGGAGATATCGCCTATGGTACAAAACCATATAAATCCAAAACTGAAATACTGCCAGGTGATCCAGTGGATGAGTTTGATGAAACTTTACATTTACAAAGAGGAGAGAACCTTTTTGAAATTCATATCAGCAAAGTGATCTTCTCTTCTGCAGTTACGCAGGCTTTTGGTGTCTGTGAGCCTGCAACTTTTTGTTCTTACTCATTCTATGACTTCGAACTTCAGGCAACCCCAATAGTTTATGGGTGTACCCCCTCATATGACTTCACTTCTCAGTATCTCGTGCAGGCTAATGACTGCTTTCTGCACTATATGCAGCAAAACAGCATCACATTTGAGGTTCATCATGCATATGGCACAGATTATGAAACAATTGCTGCATGTCAACTAAAGCTTCATGAAGTCTTGGAAAACAATGGGAAGATCTACAGCACAGCGAATTTAGTTGGTAATTAATATATCAAAAATACCCTTTTTGATGCAGTGTTGTAAGTGACAAATAACACATATTTAAGTACATATTAATTAGCAAGTAACATGCATTCATGTATTAGTGTTTCAAAAGGAAAAATAAAAAAGTTTCAACAACATGATTTTTCCTGGTGGATGTGCAGCATATTCTGGTGGTTTCGCTTACAGTTGTGGGAAAGCTCTTGACAGGTACAGTTTTGCCCATAATGGCTGAGGACAAAGATGGTATTAATATAGTGATCCTGAAGTTTGTGACATGCTGGAAATGGCATTAGAGAATCTTGTCTGAAAGTAGTAAGTGACTTTTTGTTTTACATAAATGTTACTTGCAAAGGGTTACTTCATGTAAAAAATTATTAAATTCTTTACACATGTAAATTCTTTAATGTGTAAAGAATTTTAGTAAAAGATAGTATCACTTTACTCAACAAAATTATACAAAAACAACATGGAGAAAAGTAGTAGAGCATTGTACTTGATTGCATTGTAGTACTACTCATGTTAGAATTTATAAATACTCTAGAGAAGATATTTAAAAATGAGACTGATACTCTTTTTAATTTTGCTTTATTATTTTATATATTGTTTATTGTGTTTTTGTTAAACTCAAGTTTCTTTTATTCTCTGAGACTGTTACTGGTACTGAATTAAGGGGTCCCCACCTAATTAAACTGTGAAACGTACAGTAATTTCAGTAAGACTTGGATTATGTTTAAGTGAAATTAAGTTATTCTACTTTTGGTATGCAGTTTTTCTAGCAGGATATACACTAAGCAAACAAAAAAACAACAAACAAAACATAAACATTTCTGCATTATAAGACTATCAAACATCAGTGCCTTATATCTGGCCCAGATGTCATAAATACATCCCCTCATTCCTTATGAGTAAGTAAAGGATTACAGTGGTTGTCATTTAAAGTGTTAAGTCAGATGCCTTCATATAATAGTCATACGGCATCAAAAAGGTGTAAATGGTGGTGATTACAGTTAATAATACTTCACATAGGAGCATCATCTGTGGAGGTGGTGGTGTTGGTTCTGTGCATTTTCTTCCTTTAATTCATTGTGTTACGTAATTTTAAGGTAGTCTGGACAAACGTTTTTTTTAAGAAGTAATTGATAGCCTGTGCTGCTTACTTTTTCTTTTAGAAGTATTTTGTCAGATCAGTCTATGCAGAGACCTCTGACTGCCCACTTCTGTCAAAATTTGGTTTAATAAGCCATTTTAAAGTGGTATTTTGCCGATGATTTAAACTGCATACCACTTTATAGGACATTTCCAACTGTTGACATACAAAACCATTCTAACCTTTGTTTGCTTTATATAGAGAGATTAAAATAAAGAATTTGAGTCTATAGCTTGGGCAATAAATATTGCAGATTATGATACGAAAAAATGGCTATGTGCCAGCTTTGTATCAGATACATCAAGCTAGAGGAATTGTTGTTTCTAACATGAACTTCATATCTGATGTCACAAACGCTGTCATAATACGTAGTGGTAGGGTAACTAATCCTCAGTTTGTGGCATTTCCTAGCTTTTGACTTAAGGACTTCAATGTTGAAAAAAAATTGATGCAATCATGTATGTGTTTATTCCTCAGGAATCAAAGGAAACATTCAAAATTACGGTACCGTAGAATACTGGATTAGGTTACGAATTCCTATGGATCAAGCTATTTGTCTCTACAAAGAGAGGTCAAAGGCTCTGGGGTATTTAACCGCCAGTTTTAGGGAACATGAACAACCATCTCAGGTAAGTTTGGTTTTGAACTTCATGTTTTGGTAGAATAAACTGTTGAATATTACTTTTTCATTTCAAAAAGTTTAAGTCTTGATACATTCAAGGTTAACAAAAGTTAAAGGTTCTTGAACTATAAAGTATCTATAGCAGTGGAATGATTCACTAGGAAATTAAAATTTTCACTAGAATATTTATTATATTAAATTTATTTAGCCTGCAAATGCCAGATTTTCTAACATTTTGTTCTAACTCAGTAGTGACAAATGTTAAACAAGCTACATGTCAGATCAGCTTTTTTTTTTTAAGATGAACAATGAAGAGAATTTTGATAATATGCACTGTATAATGCATATGTAAAATGCACTGTATAATCATGTTTATGATTACACAGCAGAAAAAGAAGGGGCTTTCAAAAATATTTAGCAATTGTTAAGAAATAAAAACAATCAGGTTGAAATGTATGAATTGAAAAATTTTAGTTTCTAATGGGTATGGGGTTATTTTTACCTATAGCTGTTTAAATTACAATAAGTCTGGAGTAACTTTAATGTTTTATATTATTCCATAATGTAAATTTACATTATAATACTATCTGAATGCATTTCCTGATGTAATCTGAGAAGCAGGTTTAATGCATGAGTTGTCTTAAAGGTCAGTGTAGCCAATTTCAGAATAACTTCATGTTTAATAACATTGTAACATTTGTTTTAAATCTGATTTTTAAAAGAATCAGAAGTATTTTAAGCAGCTCACAAAATCTGGCTTTTGTTAAATGCAAAACTCTGTGATTTAGTTTTCTATATTTTTGATTATGTTATTTCTAGCTATGTTGCTAACCCAAACACAGTTGAAAGGTAAGGCACGTGGAATAGCACATTTTATTGTCATTAATATAAAATTGCAAATTCAAACATGGCAACTGAAAGATATGGATTATGTGGGAGAAAATAAAGTAAGAAAAATGTGAGAAATTAAGAACATCTTCTATAGAACTGCTTGAAACACCACTTTTCAGAAATGTTTTGTGGTGGAAAGTAAAAGTTATGAAGCTGTAGCTGATGGTTGCATTATATTAAAGGTTCTGTCAGTCTGCAGCTGCAAAAGTAGCTTCAGTTGTGTGTTCCAAAATTTAAGCTTTCATTAGTTAAATAAACATACATGAATAATTTTCTGTCCTGTATAGCAGCAGAAATCATGGAAACATGAACTGTACATAAACAGTTGTAATTACTTTTTTTTTACCCAATGCTGTATGTAGCCAGAAATAGTATTCTTAAAGGTGCAAACTGTCATGTTTGGCTTTCACATTAGTTATTTCAGTGTGTATTATTTAAACAAAATATTTAACATTTTATTGCACAAAATCAAACTGATACATGTTTCCCCATACACCAGACAGAACTCTGGCTTCACAAGAAAGATAATTATATACAGTTAATGAAAGTAGCTGTGATACAGTACAGTAAAGTAGAGCCTTTTGAGATATAGATGAGGATTACTCATTTAGGATAGTTACATTATTTGTTTTCTTCTTAATCTTTAAGTTTTTATTAAAAGAATTTCTCAGTTTGCCAGCTATGGTTTCCACGGTATGTACAAGTCATGTTGATAGGTAGTTCAAAACAACCTGTGATACCATTGAGATTTTTAATTTGCCTCAAACACTAATTATTACTCTTCCCATGTTGAGTTCTAGTTTTCGTAAATTGTTTGTGTAGGTAAAGGTTTGGGAGAAAGCAAAAAACAGAGGAATCTGCTGTGCAATTTTAATTATTTAAAAGTATACATATATAAAAGAGACTACAATTATAAAAATTTCTTGAACAGAATGTCAAGGTCAGAATCCTTCACTTCAAAGTGGCACTAGATATGAATCACTCTTAAAACTGTGGTTTTCACTGCTTTGTAGATTATCAAATGACAAGTAGATCATAAAACTTCAGAAGAATAAAGCAAACAATCACAGACCTGAAGGAATTAACTTCATATTTCCTTATACCAACAACCCAAGAGATGTCACTGAATTTATAGAACAAGTAATATTTTGACATTTTAAATTAAACAGTAGTTGGAGTGTCGTTGAAATAATGTCATTTGTTCTATTTATATAGTTGTTAGAGTTCACCAGCATAAGAATTCTAATGGTTTTAATTTAACTTCTTTTTCATTTAAAGCAGCAGATACTCAGAACTGCCCAAGTCAGCACTTCAACAGATGGCAATTTAAATGAACTCCACATTACAATAAAATGTTGTAACAATCTACAATCCCGAAAAAAACGTCTTCAGCCAAATCCTTATGTTGTCTACAAGTTCTTTGATTTTGCAGACCATGATACTCCTATCATTGCTAGCAACAACAACCCACAAATAGATGACCATATGTGTTTCCAAGTGCCGATGAATGCAGAGTTAGACCGATACCTAAAATCAGAATCTATAACCTTTTATGTATTTGATGATGGTGAAACGGAAGATGGTTCTTATGTAGGGAAAGCCAATGTGCCTCTTATTTCTTTAGCACATGACAGATCTATCTCAGGTAAGAATTAGACTTCTTTAAACTTAACAAAAACTTTACATCCTCTTTTATAACCTTTAAATCTCTTTAAGAATCAAACTAAAGGCTCTGCAGAGCAATCTGACAAGCTGGATCTGTGGGCCAAGGCCAATTGTATGAGGTTCAACACGGCAAAGTGCTGGGTTCTGCACTTAGGCCACAACAACCTCATATAATGCTACAGGCTTCAGGAAGAGTAGCTGGAAAGCTGTCAGGTGGAAAAGGACCTGAGGGTGCTGTTTGATGGCCAATGAATATAAGCCAGCTTGTGCCCAGGTGGCCAAGAAGGCCAACAGAATTCTGGCTTCTATCAGAAATGGTGTGGCCAGCAAGACAAGGGAAGTAATGATCCTCCTGTACTTGGCACTGGTGAGGCCACACCTCAAATAATGTGTTCATTTTGGGGCCATTGGCTCCCAAAAAAGACATTAGAGGTGCTGGAGCGTGTCCAAAGAAGAGCAGCAAAGCTACTGAAGGGTCTGGAGCAAAAGTGAGAAGTGCCTGACAAAGCTGGTGTTTAATCTGGGGAAAAAGAGGCTGAGGGGGGAGCCTTACTGCTCTATACAACTACCTGAGAGACAATTTCTTTTCTGTTTTTTCCCAAGTAACAAGTGATATGATGAGAGGAAAAGGCCTCAAGTTTTGCCAGGGGAGGTTCATGTTGGATATCAGGAAAAACATCTTCCCTCACTGGAGCAGGCTGCCCAGGGAAGTGGTGGAGTCACCATCCCTGGAGGTATTTAAAAGACCATGTAGAGGTGCCACTTGGGGACATGGTTTAGTGGTGGACTTGGCAGTGTTATGTTTACAGTTGGTTTTCGTGATCTGAGAAGTCATTTCCAACCTCAGTGATTCTATAAACCTGTATCATTCTTGTCTGACAGAATTTTAACTCCAGTGAGATCCTGGAAATAAATTTTGCATCTCAGTGTTACTTAAGTCATGGCTAGTGAAAAGTCTGTCAGAGCTCTGGAACTGATGAATGATATTTTAATATAAACATTAAATGTCAAACACTAGAGAAAGAAAAGACCCAGGGAGAGAAAAAAAAGAATCTAATATCTCATTTACCAGAACAGTACTAACAGAGCACTCCAGTATTGCTGGGTTGTAACTCAAACTTTAAAGTGGTGTTTGATTTGTGATATATCCATGAGCTGAAGTCCAATCTGTACCTTACAGTGTGGATAGTAATAATAGAATTTTTTTCTCCTCTTGACATTTTCCAAGATTTAAGAGGAGTGAAAGTTTTCTTTAAAATCCACAATAAAAAAAAAAAAAAAGAAGAACGTGTGTCCAAACATTAATTTATCATGGTCCTAAGAAAGTTTTTTAAATCCCTTTTTTGTTCTCTGTACTGGCCCAGGTACAGAATAATTATGATTTGATAAATTATTATAATTGGAATGATGTTATCAGTCTAGCACTGACTGAATTTAACTGCTAATTATGTTTGATCACTGTCATAATAAAGACTTTCATCTTGCAGAGATGGGATTTCCCATATTTCAGCTTGTGCCTGTAGGCTGTCCTCCTGCTGTGCACCTCTGATTGTGTCTTTTCCTCACCCTTCTATTAAGTGGCAGTAAGATCCCCACTGAGTTTCCTCTTCTAAAAGTTGAGCAGATCACTTCCTTAAGCCTCTCCTATGCCACGTGCTCCACAGCCCTGAAGTTCTCTACAGCTCTCTACTGGACCTGCTCCAGAATGCCAGTGTCTTCTGCTGGAAAGGTTACAACTGGGCATAGTATTATAAGTGCCATCTCGTAGGTATTGGGGAGAAATTGTGACACCCCTGGACCTGTTTGACTGCCTTTTTACTAATACAGGCCAGGGTGTAGTTGGCATTCTTTGCTGCAAAGACCCAACCTCACTGGCTTGCATTTGTCAAACAGGACCAGCTCTTATTCTGCAAGGCTGCATGTGGCCAGTCAGCCCCTAACCTTGTGCTGCTGTTTGAGACTGTTCCTGGGCTGATGCAGGATTTTGCATTTGGTTTTGTTGAATTTTACGAGGTTTCCATCAGGCTATTTTTCTACAGTGTGAATAGCAGCTCTGCCTCCAGTGCATCAACTGCTCCTTGCAAGTTGATATCAGTTAATAATCAGTTTAGAATATAAAAGCTGCTTAATTATTTTATTGCCAACTGTAAGATAAACATATGGTTCTATAATTATTCAATGTAAATGGGAATAGGATAAAATCTAAGTGAATTTAGTGTATTTCTTCTTTGATAGGTTTAGCTACTCATATTTTTAGAACTTGCACTTTCTTTAACAAAAGTTAGTAAAATATGGAACTGTCTTAATTAGATCTTTTGAAAGATGTCAATAACAATATAATCTGGTATTGGATTATCTGAGGAACCTGCAGGACATCTTGAACTAATTCAGTAATCCAGCCCCTTTTAAGTTCTGGATTTTGAATGTCCACAGTGTTATATTGGGCATTTTGACACTATTAGCTTCTAAAATTAAGACTTTTAAGTCATTTAATTCCTGAATCCCATTCGGATTTGCATTGTGTTTTCTTGCATAGGTGTAGAATAAGATAATTTAGAGACGATATTTACATACTGTTTTCAGGTATTTTTGAACTAACAGATTCTGAAAGACATGCTGCTGGTACCATCACAGTTGAATTAAAATGGAAACATGTCTACCTACCACCAAGTGGATTACCAATGGCTGCAGACTTAGGAAATTACATTCAAAATGAGAAATCAATGGCAACTAAATTACTAGCTGAGGAAAAAACTCAGACTCCAGTCCCTTCTCCTTCTTGTACTTCATTGGTGACAGTAAGTAATTTAACAAACTCACAGAAGTTAAGAGATATAAAAAAGCTGTTACAGCAGGTCATTTAGTTTTTCCCCAGTGACCAGGATTTGTCCTTGCTGTAAAATAAATGCATAGCACAAATACTTCATATAACTACCATCTTCAACTTCCTTCGGGAAATAAAATCATTCTTGTGTCCAAAACTTTTAAAAGTCTTTTATACTGGTAGATAGCTGATTAGCAAAAAGGGGGGGGCAGGGAAGGGAGGAGATATAACATCTATTAAATGTCTTCCCTATAAATTTAGTTCTTATTAATTCTCTTTCCAATGTAGATGACCTGCATAAAATGTAGTCACTTGCTTGTGTAACTTCAGGGGTATGCTTGAAATTTATGACAGTCATGAAATCAGCTATTTCTTTCTATGGTCTCCTAGAAGCTCAGACTGAACCCAATCAGCTGGAGTAGCTTTGAGCCAAAACAATTCTTAATCGGCCATACCCAAGTCATATATACAGATACATAGTTGTATCTGCACTATGCTCTTTGTTATTCTGGTGTCTGGAGCATGATGCTAATACCAAATAGCTTCTTAAAAATCACTCATAAATTAAAAGTACTGTAAAGATTTCGTGTGTGTGTTTGTGTGTGTGTGTGTGTGTGTGTGTGTGTGTGTAAAAATCAGTTGAAATGGAGGATAATCTCTATGTTAATAAAGCATGAAGAGTAATAAACCACTTTATTATTCTTGTGTTTTATTATAATATAATGACCGAGCTAATTATGGATTTTTTTCTTATTTTACAACTATTAACAGTCTTGTTTTTGTTTCTGTATTAAAAGTTTCCAGGGGCAGTGGCATAAGGAAAGGTATCAAAGGTACACTTAGCCTACACAAGAAAAAAAATCAAGCACTCCATAAAGGATAATAATAAATCATTCTGCCACATAACATGATACCACTAACTTGAGTCCTACAGTTGTTTCTTACCTAGAACTCATATGGCATTCCATAGATGCTCTGTAGAGTTTTATATCCATTTGTGGCTGAATTCTGAAAGGTATCTCCAGTTGTAGAGGTTTTGCTTATTCAAACAGCATCTACATCATTTTGCCTGTTTAGAATTGAATTTAGTGCAGTTAGATTTGGCTTTGAGAAAATTCGAAATTCCTCAAAATTTATGTCTAACCATCTCTAAAATAAGATGATTAGAATGTGGCAATAAATGAGCTTCAGCTATGTTTATTTTATTACAGAAACCAACACCCAAACGAAGGCAGTGTGCAGCTCAAGCAGAGAAGAAAGTATCTTTCCTGGATCTTGGTACAAAACAGATGATAGTAAGTTTAAGTATTTTTCTCATGCATGTTGGAGAAAGAAAAGCTACTAACATCTCAGTGTGGTCAATTCTTAGAGCTAATAATCAAGAACACTCAAATTATTTTAGCAGCACAAGACTGGGATGTCCCAGCCAATGAATGATAGCATAGTACTGCATATAGGTGAGGGATACAATACAGGGATATTTGTGTGACTCACACAGAATTGCTTGGTGTCCTCCACAGCTTACAGGCTTCAACTTTCATAAACAGGACAGATTCTAATAGCACAAATCAGCTGTCTGTGCACTGTGTTTCTCAGCTGTCTGGCTTAGTAAGTGTCTTTCCACAGTGTAACATTTGCACAGACATATAAATGGCTCAAGAAACCAGCTTAATCCAAACAGATACTGAGTGTTGTGCTAACAAGATAACACAATTTGACACAGTTCATCATCTGAGATTACACATACAATGAAAATAATGTTAACATCAGTTTACAGTTCACAGGTGGTTCTGCCATTGTTTAGTTTACTGTAACTAGAATGTTGTTTTGTGCCATGCAGTATAGACTGGAAATAAGAATTAAGTAGATCTTTCGTATTTATTAAATAAAAAATAATAATAACTCAAATGTTGGTGAAATCAGATCTTTTGAGAGCTTAGATATGGAAAAATGCAATGTTTGCCATAAAGTTAAACACAACATATTTCTATTGAGCTGGCCAAACAGTAAATTCTCAAAGCTGGACTATTTTTCACAAACTAGGATTTTCTGAGGGAGGCAGATACTCAGTCTCCATAGTAAATCTTCATTATTGGTTGGGCAGCTCCCCTAGATGTTTTAAAAAATCCAAGCCTCAATGCCTGGTTAGAGGCAAAAATACTGTTAGAACTAAATAATGAAATAGATGGTGTTTCTCTGATATGTGAGAATTAGAAGTTTAATGGATTAAAACTGTACAGACAGTCTTTCATTTTCCTGTTTGTTTTCTGAATAGCAGAGAATCTAGTTCTTGGATATTAATGTGACACATGCCAAAGCAAATAGTTTCTTTCCAGAAAACCAGACACAATAGTCAATGGAATGAGTGTTTGATTTGCCCAAACTATTAGTCAGAATTGTCCAGCCTCACAGGCAGATGTTATAGCAGAGGATAGACACAGCAGTGCTAATGCAAGAAAGCAAAGGGGGACAGAATTTCCTGTCCAAACACTTATCTGCCTCTAAATTTATACTTACATTTGTGTGTTAATTGTGTGCTATATATTAAAGGTTTCCCCTAATTTCACCCATAAATTAGGGCTCTCTTGAAAATAACATGGAACTTGCACAGAAAATGAAGGCTTCAAGAGTTCCAAGTGTTTCAGAGGTATGAGATTATTCAGGTTTTGTGGGTTTATATAATACACTGCATTTGAACTCCACACATACGTTATTTCTTTTCTATATCATGCATCAATAAACAAACTACTGTAAAGATCACAGAAACATCTCTGAAATATGTAAAAAGTAATTCCTTGTGATGACAATGTTTTTTTCCCATTAGAAAGTGAGGAATCTCATCACTTCTTTCAATGTTTGTGTGAAATTTATTTTGTCTTTCCTCTTGAAATTACCATTATTGTGAGCAGGAAAGGCTTGTGGCTGATCTTAGAACGATTAGGTTGTCCCCCCAAGTTCCTCAAAATAATTATTCTGTTACATGAGGATCAGCAAGGCCAAGTCAGGTATGGTGATGCACTCTCTGAGCTTTTCCCAATAACCAATGGTGTGAAACAAGGTTGCATTCTCGCACCGACCTTATTCACAGTCTTCTTCAGCATGATGCTCCAAAGGGCTACAGCAGACCTCGACGAACAAGACGGCATTTATATTTGATATCGTACCGATGGTAGCCTATTCAGTCTAAGGCGACTGAAGGCCCACACTAAGACCCTAAACCATCTTGTTCGTGAACTGCTCTTTGCTGATGATGCTGCCCTTGTTGCCCACACAGAAGCAGCTCTGCAGTGTTTAACATCTTGCTTTGCGGAGGCGGCTGAGGTTTTTGGGCTGGAAGTCAGCTTGAAGAAGACAGTAGTCCTCTACCAACCTGCACCGCAAGAAGATCATCGCCATCCCCATATTACTATCAGCGAGTCAGACCTTAAGACAGTTCAGCAGTTCAGCTATCTGGGAAGCATCATTTCCTTGGATGCCACGATCGACAAAGAGATAGACAACAGAATAGCAAAGGCATACAGAGCCTTTGGAAAACTCCATAAAAGAGTCTGGTGTAATAAACACCTGAAGAAAAGTACAAAGGTCAGTGTCTACAAAGCCATTGTATTGTCTACTCTTTTATATGGATCTGAATCATGGGTCATCTACTGTCATCACCTGCGACTCCTGGAACGCTTTCATCAGCACTGCCTCCGTACAATTCTAAACATCCATTGGACTGACTATGTGTCTAATGTCACTGTCCTCGAACAGGCAGGGGTCACCAGCATCGAGGCCATATTGCTGAAATTGCAGCTGCGCTGGGCAGGGCACGTCTCTAGGATGAAGGATCACCGCCTCCCCAAGATCGTGTTTTACGGTGAACTTGCCACCGGTAGCCGCAAGAGAGGTGCCCCAAAGAAGAGATCTAAGGACTCCCTGAAACAATACCTTAGCCTTGGCCATACTGACTACCATCAGTGGTCCACCTTGGCCTCCAATCGGGAGGCTTGGAGGCACACCATACATAATGCCGCTGACTCCTTTGAGAGTTCACAAAGAACTAGTCTCGAGGAGAAAAGACAACGCAGGAAGAATCGCGCCCCACCTGTTCCACCCAAGGAGACCTTCTGCTGTGCTTTTTGTAGCCGGATTTGCCTATCCCACATTGGCCTTCTTAGTCATCAGCACGCTTGTAGTAAGCGTGGGTAAAAAGCCCTTCCCAAATCTTCATTTGCGAAGTCAAGCCATGATGGTCATGATGACCATTATATAGTTGGGAGGGGTGGTATGAAGAAGAAATGGAGTAACTTTGGAATATTAGAATCATAGAACAGAATAGTTAGGGTTGGAAAGGACCTTAAGATCATCAAGTTCCAACCCCCTGCAATGGGCAGGGACACCTTGCTCCTAAACCATGTCACCCAAAGCCTCGTCCAACCTGGCCTTGAACACTGCCAGTGACAGAGCATTCACAACCTCCCTGGGCAACCTATTCCAGTGCCTCACCACCCTATCAGGAAAGAATTTCTTCCTTATATCCAATCTAAACTTCCCCTGTCTAAGTTTTAACCCATTATCCCTTGTCCTGTCACTACAGTCCCTAATGAAGAGTCCCACCCCAGCACCCCTATATCCCTATTCAGATACTGGAAGGCTGCTATGAGGTCTTCACGCAGCCTTCTCTTCTCCAGACTGAACAGCCCAACTTTCTCAGCCTATCTTCATATGGGAGGTGCTCCAGTCCCCTGATTATTCTCGTGGCCCTCCTCTGGACTTGTTCCAACAGTTCCATGTCCTTTTTATGTTGAGTACACCAGAACTGCACACAATACTCCCAAGTGCGGTCTCACGAGAACAGAGTAGAGGAGCAGGATCACCTCCTTCGACCTGCTGGCCACACTCCTTTTGATGCAGCCCAGGATACAGTTGGCTTTCTGGGCTGCAAGCGCACAATGAAGCCAGCTCATGTTCATTTTGTCATCGACCAGCACCCCCAAATCCTTCTCCACACGGGTGCTCTGAATCTCTTCTTTGCCCAGCCCGTAGCTGTGCCTGGGATTGCTCCCACCAAGGTGTAGGACCTTGCACTTGGCATGGTTAAACGTCAGGAGGTTGACATCAGACCACCTCACAAGCGTGTCAAGGTCCCTCTGGATGGCATTCCTTCCCTGCAGCGTATCAACCGAACCACACAGCTTGGTGTCATCGGCAAACTTGCTGAGGACGCACTCAATCCCACTGTCCATGTCAGTGACAAAGATGTTAAACAGGACCTGTCCCAACGCCCATCCCTGAGGGACACCACTCGTTACTGGTCTCCAGCCGGACATTGAGCCATTGACCACAACTCTTTGAGTGCGGCCCTCCAGCCAGTTCTTTATCCACCGAGTGGTCCATTCATCAATTTGGCGTCTCTTCAATTTAGAGACAAGGATGTCGTGTGGGACAGTGTTGAACGCTTTGCACAAATCCAGGTAGATGACATCAACTGCTCTGCCACTGTTCATCAGTTCTGTAGCCCCATCATAGAAGGCCACCAAATTGGTCTGGCAGGGTTTCCCCTTAGTGAAGCCATGCTGGCTGTCACCAAGCACCTTGTTGATTTTCATGTGCCTTAGCATGCCTTCCAGGAGAATCTGCTCCAAGATTTTGCCAGGCACAGAGGTGAGACTGACTGGTCTGTAATTCCCCAGGTCATCCATTTTCCCCTTCTTGAAAATGGGGGTTATATTTCCCTTTTTCCAGTCGTCGGGAACTTCACCTGACTGCCATGATTTTTCAAATATGATGGCCAGCAGCTTAGCAACTTCATTCGCCAGCTCCGTCAGGACGCGTGGATGGATTTCATCAGGACTCATGGACTTGTGCACGTTCAGATTTTTAAGATTGTCTCGAACCAATCCCTCTCCTACAGTAGGCCCAAGGTCTTCATTCTCACAGTCCCTGCGTCTGCCTTCCAAGACTTGGGTGGTGCGGTCAGAGCCTTTGCTAGAGAAGACCGAGGCAAAGAAGTCATTCAGAACCTCAGCCTTCTCCAAATCCTGTGTAGCTAGTTCACCCGAGAGCTTCCTGAGGGGGCCTACATTCTCCCTAGTCTGTTTTTTATTTGCTATGTACCTGTAGAATCCCTTCCTGTTATCCTTAACATCCCTAGCCAAGTTTAATTCTAACTGGGCCTTAGCTTTCCTAACCTGGTCCCTAGCTTCCCGGACAACATCCCTGTACTCTTCCCAGGCCGCCTGTCCTTGCTTCCACTTTCTATAAGACTCTTTTTTCATTTGAATTTTCCTCAGCAGCTCCTTATCCATCCAAGGAGGTCTCCTGGCCCTCCTGCTGCACTTCCTTCTAGTTGGGATGCAACACTCCTGAGCTTGTAGCAGGTGATCCTTGAAGACCAACCAAGAGTCTTGGGCCCCCCTGCCCTCTAGGGCTATATCCCATGGAACCTTACTAAGCAGGTTCCTGAAGAGGCCAAAGTCTGCTCTTTTGAAGTCTAGGGCAGTGAGCTTGCTGCACGCTCTTCTCACTGTCCTGAGGATCTCAAATTCGACCATCTCGTGATCGCTGCATCCAAGGCTGCCCTGGAGCGCCACATTTCCAATGAGCCCTTCCCTGTTGGTGAGCACGAGGTCAAGCATGGCACCTCTCCTTGTCGGTTCCTCTATTACTTGCAGAAGGAAGTTGTCTTCCACACAATCGAGGAACCTCCTGGATTGCTTGTGCCGGGCCGTACCGTCATTCCAACAGATGTCAGGGTGGTTGAAGTCACCCATGAGAATGAGGGCCTGTGAGCATGAGGCTTTTCCTATCTGCCTATAGAGTGCTTCATCCGCAGATTCTTCTTGATCACGCGGTCTGTAACAGATCCCCACAGTAATGTCTCCCATCGCTGTTTTCCCTTTAACCCTGACCCACAAACTCTCTGTTAACTGCTCACCTGTCCCCAGACAGAGTTCCATACTCTCCAGCCTATCCCTAACATAAAGGGCAACTCCCCCTCCGCGCCTGCCAGGCCTGTCTTTTCTAAAGAGTCTGTAACCTTCCATTCCAACACTCCAGTCATAGGAGCCATCCCACCATGTTTCTGTGATGCCTATAATATCATACCCCTGTAGACGAGCACACATCTCTAATTCCTCTTGTTTGTTCCCCATGCTATGGGCATTTGTATAGAGGCATCTGAGCCGAGCTCCAAATGAAGCCGGCTCATTGGCTGGAGCAGTTGGAATATCTCTACATTGCTCCGAGAATTTATTATAGGTGCTGGCAACTGACTGGGAGCATTGGGACGGAATGATGCCTCCGTCCCCCAGCACATCTAGTTTAAAGCCTCCTTGACCAGTCTGGCAAGCCTTCTACCAAAACTGTTCCAGACCAGCTCCACCAGCCCCTGCTAGACCTGGCCTACAAACTTGGGTCCCATGTTCAAGACACAATATTGCACTGAAGGAATTAAAAAGAATGGCCAAACGTTGCCTAAAACACAGTTGGTGTGGCATATCATCTGTGCCAAGGAAGAGCATAAAGGAGACATAAAGTCAGTTTCTTACAGCTTGAAAACTTCAAAAATAATCTTTACAGGATAAAACTCGTGGTAACACTGTTTTGCTTTGTGTGGCTCCAAACATGTTAGAAAAGAAGTAAGTTGTGTCTCGAGATGTGTTAGAATAGAAATAACTCTTCAGGTCCCTTTTTGGGAAACCTGGCTGTTCTGTGAATAGCTGGAAGTTACCTCATGGATTCCGAGTGTGGAAAGTGAAGCATCAGTGTCTCTGTGGAAAATTCAGTCCAAGAGGAGAACTGTTGGATAATAAACAACGCATAGGTCTCCAGTAAATTTCCGTGAAAGATGCCATGTCTGTGATGTTACATTTCTTCATGAGGTAGTATTTTATGTAGTTGTACTTGAAGAGAGAGGAGCGAATAAAATTACTTCAGAGTAATTTATGCACTAAAGACCTTAGATAACGTTTGCATTTTTAGCAAAGCCAGTTCTCTTTTTTATCGTTTCAGTTTGCTTTTGAAATAGAAAATACTGTATGATTTAAGCTGTAAAATTGCTAATTGAGTAAGGTGGTGGTGTTTTGGTTTGGTTTGGGTTTTTTGGGCTGAGTCTTGTTGACTGAAAGAGCTGAAATATAAGTGAATATGGAAATATAGCAGTGTATATATGTTGACAGGTACCAAATGATTATAATGGTTATGTTTTCACAAATATGCATCATTAGAGAATTTTGTCTTCTGTATCAATTATTTGTTACTGAATTTGACAACTTCTCATTGTTTCCTGCACTGCGTAAGCAATATAATTGTTTAAAGGCTATGTATAATTAATGTGAGCCATAACTCTCTTCAAGTTTTGAACTTTATTAAATTTTACTGTTCCATGATTGTTACAAAGACTGTAAGTTTATCTGTTTTTATACAGCACGTGGTACAGGAGGTTAAACAAGAAAGGCTAGCAGATGATATGGTGAAGAAGATGGCTGAAGAAATTCAACAGGAAAAAGATGACCCCTCACATCTCTCAGAGGGGCAGTTGGCCAACCAAAGCTCAGTTACCTCTGGAGATGAGACAGAAATAACTGAAGAATTGGAATCAGAAGGTAGAATTCATTTTTATGAATAAGTAACTGTGTTTTCTTGATAAATATATGTCTCAGACTTTTCTTAAGCATTTCTTACTAGCAGTGGAAGCTGCCTCATTATGAGAACCTTCATGACAGAAATTGTATTCTGGTGTACTTTGTAGCTGAAGCTGGATAGTGTATATGGTGGCGTTATTTTCTTCCTAAATGGAAGCTGTATTGTAATTAAATGCAAAAATCTGGTATCTGACCTAGATTCATAAAATATTAAAAGAAACCTGGCTTCTATTTTAAATGTCTTTATATTCTCTCTTAGAACTGTGCTGTTCTAAAGAATATTTTAATGAATATGCTCCTTTTGTCTGCAGATAACAGCCAGTGCTGATATCAGAAATTCTTTCAGACAGTGAGAGGGGTGCTATGTATTATCACATCTGTGACATAAGGTTGTTAGAGGCAGATTTATTTAAAGATTATAAAGCCGGGTATTCCTATTCCACTTCCAAGATTCAACTGTTTATCATTTAATAAACCAAGTCAATAGTACCAAGTTTGAAGCACAAGCAAGATACTAAAATTTTACGTTCAGTTATTTGCAGTTTCCACATAAGAATTCATTAGAAAAATTGTAAAACATGATGTTGAATTCTAGTGTGTTTATAAGTAATTCTCTCTAAAGAAAAGTGACCTGAATGTTTTAGAAAATAAGTCACATTTATACAGATCTACTTAAAAAAAAAAAAAAAAAAAAAAAAGTACGCCATGCACATGTAAAGAAGAATGTTCAACATAGAGGAAATTCACACGTTCAGTCCATATTCTTATATAAAGCTAAGTGTTGTTCATACTTCAGTTCATCACAGGACTTCTATCATGCCAGTCATGAACTTTCATCTGGGAAACATTACTTTTTTTTTTTCAGCAAATCAGAAAAATACACAGTTTAGATTACTGTAAAGGTCATTGATTTGCCAATATTAATCTTCTGCAAGGAAGAGTTACCTGGCACTTACCCTTTATTTATTAGAAAAGCAAATATATTGCTGTCAGGTTTCTCAGCAAGTCTCAAATGGACTACAGATACAGGGGGGTTTAACTCTGTTGATTCTATTTTTGCAGATCAAGATGATAGACAAGAAAATGATGCCATTGAATCAATAATAACTGACAGCGATGACTGTATTGTTTCATGTCCGCTATCCAAGAATATTAAACAGGTGAGTTAGAGTATTTATGGCAATTATATGGTAAGTCTAAGAAAAATATTTTAAGCTTAATGCCCTCTAAGAATAACTTTGCTTATAGCTAGGTTTAGATTCAAAGGCATTGTCAATGAGTGTGTTTTCCTGTTTACATTTTGAGTAGACATCTTTCCACAAAGAAAAAAGTTAATGTGCCTATATTGTGCATGTGATTTATAGGTGTTTTTCTAATGGGGAAATTTGTTGTCATCTTTTCCGCTGTTGTCATACACACTTAGAATTAGACTTTTCTAATTAGTTTCAGTCCAAAGTCTAATATTAGTCCTGCACAAAATCTGCCTAACAAGAGATAACTATTGTAATGTGAACATCTAAAGAGGTTAGTCTTGTTCAGTTCTACCTGTTGCCTTTATGTTGGGAAATGGGCTTTTCCTGCTTCTTGCAATGCTTTCTGAGGAAGAGGAGGATAATATCATTTGTCAGGGCCTGTCGTAAATCTATAATACTTAGCTACACACTTCATCACAGTATGTTGACTTGATTGAATGTTTTTGAAATGGCAATTGCATAAACTTGGGGTTGTTAATGGCATATAAACCTTGCATATGTTTCTTAGTTCATCCATAGATTTCTTTTTGTTCCTGACTTCCCAACAGTTTAAAACTGACCATTTGTTTTCAATAAGGTTTGTACAGGTACGGCATTCAGTTACTTCAGTGTACTGTTATTTGTGGGCATGTACAGTAATAATATCCTCTTGGCTTATTCAAAACCAGCAACTGATGAGTGTAAAGTTATATATACAGAATAACACAGCATAATACGAATTTGGAAAATTTACGTTCAAAAATAAGTTCAATCCTGTAGTTTTCTAAAAAGTAAGGACATTTTCTACTTTTAGATCTAACATTGACTGAACAATCTTAGAAAATATGAAGCTAGCACTTAAAATTGTAACAGTTAATACTTCTTTGCTTTGTCTTAGCCTCCTTTTAAAGGACTGGAGTGTACTGTTAATATTGATGCTAAGTTTCTTTAATGTTCTGCAATTGGATAGGATAGAGGTAGTTTGATTTTTATTTTTTAAATCCTTTCTTCAGGGCTGTGTGACATCTTACAGAGTAACTAGCAACATGAAGCAGTGTTTCATATGAGAATTATTGCACCTTTTTTTTAAGTTGTAGAAGGGATTTCAAAAAGCTCTTACTTACATATGCTGCACTAAAACACAGATGGTACTTTTGAAGACAGAATAGCATTGTTTATAGGTAAAAGCTTGAAAAAAAATTTCACCTGTAATTTTGACAACTGAAATGTCTGCTACTCATGATCATTAAGTCAGACTGTAATATGGTTGATCCACATCTCTCGTCATCCTGTATTTTATTTTATCAATATTATTTAAGAACTGTTCTGAGAATTTTGAGTGTAGATTCATTTTAGTTCATTAATTTCTACTTCTCTCCATTGTTCTGTTTCTCTGGTAACAAAGTGTATGTTCAAGAAGGGTAGATACAACAACAAAAGCTATAAGCTATTAAGACAACATGTTAATACAGATTGTATTGTCAAAATAGACATTGCTATATTTGAAATCTTGGGTTAATTATACAATACAGCATGTGAAAATTATGATTGAATTTATGTTTTTTTAAGATTAAAAATCGCTGCCTTTTATCTTTTGAGATAAATATCCTCAAACAGTGTAAATAAGACTTGTGATTTTTAGAGATCGTTATGCTAATTATCCTATAAATCTAAGTTGTATGCCAAACTGTTTAAGCCATTTAAGATCATACTGTTCCTTTTTTTGCATGCTGCAAATTAGACAGTTCATGGTTATTTCTTAGATATGTTGATCATAAAGGGTATCTAACAGATTTTCCAGTACTTAGCTGTACCACTTACTTCTTTCTCTTTTCTTCTTGTCTATGATGTATAATTAATCATAGATTACTTCATTTTGTTTCATTTCATTTACAACATTTATGAGCTTCACTTTGTCAGTATGAAATGCTTGTCCCCTTCTTTCCTTTCTAAAGTGGCGTAATTAGTGTTAGCATCTTTTTTAACAGGCTACATAAAGTTTAGTGGCTGGATTAAATCAAGTCATTAACATAATGTGCTATACAATTTGCCCCTATCTCTTTTCGTTTCCAGTACATCAAAGTGCCACAGAGCGCCAGTGTAATTGGGCCTTGCTAGCTTGTCAGGTTCAGTCAGGCTGATGGCTGCTGCTTTTTTCTAAAAGAGCTTCCAGGCATGATAATTAATAAAGAAAAGAAGTCTGAGAAATGTAAAAGTTTGGACAGTTCTCTATGAATATTTCATACATTTGAATAATCAGAAGTTAACATAATCAAATTGATGTATAATACATTGATTAAAAGCCTTGTTTCAGATCGTCAAAATAGACATCAAAACTTGGAATTTGCATTTTCTTTGGCATGGTCTTTACATTTAAAAAAAACCAAAAAAACCTCTAAAAATCTGTTCTCTTCCATCCCCTGCCCCCTTTTGCCCCCATGTCTACGCTGTATCCTTAACAGGAGATAATATAGTATTCAATTAGCACAATAAAACTTACTGCTATCAGCTTCCAAGTGGACTTAAAATGTGCCTATAAGGCAGTTGCTGGCAAAAACTATTTATGTGGTAGTTGTCCCATTTTTTCTATAGGTGTGCTTACATCTCTCTTTTTAGTTGCAGATACTGTGAGTGCATTACTTTGCACAAATAGCAGATACTGAAAACCGTCATTATCAGTTCCCGTAAATTAAGATGTCAGGGTCAAATTAATTTTGACATGAAAATTTCTCTTAAAGACAATTAAAAAGCAATACCAATTGTTTGTGGTTTTGTTGGTCATTGAAACATGTTTGTGCAAAGATGAGGAGGCTTAAAGCATAAAGCTGATGTATAGCAAAGCAATAAGTATTTTTCCTTTCATTATGCCTTTTTTGTACAATCACTTGAATAGTGCATTTCCTTCTGTGAGATACCTGTGTTCACTGGAAAAAAAAAAAAAAAATTATGTTGCAGTCTTAAATTTTGGCTGTCTTGATCTCTCTCTATTTTCTTCAGGATTTGAATACTTCTTGTGTACTTCAGGGAGATTTCTGCATGCTTAGTGCTTTTCTTAAACTGTCTTATTCTGTGAATATGTAATCTGAATCTAGAGAACTAAGTTTTTAGGTTTTTAATTTTAGCCGGTGTTGGTGGGTTGACTTGATTTTACTCTGCCAGACATACTAATCTTTCGTATTCTCTCACTCTTGTGTAGATCTAACCTTAGTTGCTTTGTGCTTTTCTTCTATAAGTAACTGGGGAACAGGCATATTTCATAAAACAAGTCAATATTTTCAAAGACTACTACGGGCCTAAGATCATAAAGGGGCATTTGCCATTCTCTGTCTTTCAGGTGATTGTTTGCTATTATGGTCACTATTAGACAGGAACTAATCTAGGTTAAGACCTAAGTTCTCTTTTGGCACTGATGAAGTTTGAGATGACAGCAGTTAAAAAGGAAAAGCAGTGCTTTGTTTTGAAGACAGATACTTATTTAACCAAGAGCACTTGTATTTGTTTACTGCCAAAAAGAAAATTGCTTCGAAAATGAAGCAATGCTTATTTAAATCATGGTTTAGTGGTGGATTGGGCAGTATTAGGTTTACAGCTGGACTCGATCTTAAAGGTCTTTTCCAGGCTAAATGATTCCGAGTCTAGTTTGAATAGGCAGTATGCTGGAATGGTGGATTTACAACTTCTAGCACTTGTCAAATATACTTTGAAGCAGTAATTAGAAGCATGCACTGCAAGTCATTTTTCTTGAAAGAAGAGCGAGAATTAATACCAAGAAAACCCCAAAACAATTTTTAAAATTATACAAATCAACAGAATCTTAACTCATTATGTAACCTACTACTTGTTAGGGAACAAATAAAACTAATGAGTCAGAATATTAAATTAAGTAGAAAGTCAGGTTTAAGGCTGGGTATGTAAGCCCACATGAAAAGCATCAGCAGGAGCCATTTTTAACCTATCTGGTAATATTTTTTGTGTTTATGAATGTGAATGCTCCTCAGTTGCGTACTTGAGAGATTATATATATCAGAGCTCATTGATGTGGAGGTAAGTTATGGTGACTTTGCAGTTAGAACTGAGGGGTTTTTTTAACTGGAGTCCTAAAAAGCAAAGGATGGGATTTGAAACTAAATTTGAGTTTTGATTAGCTCTGATATCTAGCACCAAGAATAACTCCTTTTCACACTGTAGGTAATATGAGAGAGAATCAAACTCCATTAATTTTTGCATGTCTGTACTGTCCCCCCACAATACTTTATTGGTGGAGGGGAACACACAGTATCAAATGTTAAGTATTAATCTCTCAATAAAAAGAACTGCTATATTAAAAATATCCAATTTGATATATTTTTTTTCACTACAGATGCAGTCTTAACAAATGAAAATGCCACACTGATTGTTCTGCCTTATTCCTGTACTATAGGGTTTTTTCTAAATGGATTAACTTTCAAATACAGGTTTTAAAAATCAATTCATTTTTTTAATCCAACCAGAAGTCTGTTCTCCATACAGAAAACTGCATGCATAATAATATACAAAAGCAGAAATCCTATTTGTTTAGATTTTTTACATAACACTGCTATTTATTTCATCTTATTGATGTCACGTGTTGATGTATATTAGCATACCAAAAACATACAAAGTATGTATTTCTCTTTATTGAGAAATTTTGTTTCATGGTTGTTTACTTAAGGGTCATGCTTCCTTTTGAAAGGAAAGGTAATTGCAAGTTTACAAAGCATTTGGGCAACTTAATTTTGTAACTGGTTGGTACTGATGTAGCTAACTGGGTTTGAGATTTTATAAGTTTAGTATTTGTTTTTATTTTATCTGTTGGTATAATCAATTGTGGGTTTTTAGACAGTCTGCAGTAGAGATGGGTGTAGCTTAGTTCAGGACTGTAACATTATTGTTTATGTAACCTTTCCCGCTTCTTGGGGAGAAAAATAAAAGAGTTAAAGAAATTTTTCTCTCACCTGGCAAACAGCCCCAGATATATCTGCTGCTTCTTTTTTTTTTTTTTTTTTTTTTGGTTTTATGGTTTTGTTTTTTTTTTTTTTATTTATTCACCCCAGAAACAATTTTTCGTTAAAGGCTGTTAGTTGAGGCAGTGCCACAGGCAAGTTGCAAAACCAAGTCTTTAAAAACAATTCAACTTCAGGAGCAACAGTGAACAATTTTGTGTTTATTGTTCAGATAGGGTAGGGGAGGCAAGCCACTGAAGGGATAAAACTATATTATTCAAGTGATTAGAAGGTGTATTGTAAGCACAGTGCAAATGTGACATTAAGTTCAGATGTATAGTTGTCATGGTTGTGGTGGGAAAACTTTGCGTCCCTCAAGAACTTTGTATTTTCTAAAATGTTTGGTATTTTGTACTGAATTAGAAATTGTCTTTTCTGAATAACATCAATGCATTGATGGGTGTGTTAGATATTTGCACTGAAGAGGCAATATCTCATCATTAAATTGTCTCAAGCTGTGGCAAGTAATTCATACTTTTGAAGATGCTGAAGATGAATTCATGCTCTAAAAATCATGGATTTGGACTCTAGATAAAATGGCAGCAACCAGAGATGTACTCATTATCACAGAGAGATTTTTCTGGGTGTTCTTAATTGCAGACAGAGCTGAAGGGATTGCATCGAATATTTCTATGATGCTAACCTTGCGCCATTGAATTATTCTCCCAGCACATGGCAAAACCTGTGATGCTGGGGAAGATTATATGTGACTTTCCTTCCTTTGTATGTCTCAAAAAAGGAGATACCTCTTTGCCCCAAGTCTTAGCAAGACCCTAAAGTGCATGCACTTCTGTTAAGTCCCATCCATTTGGAGAAGGAACAGGGAGCTGTTTCTATTCTTGTATCTGTAGCATTGTGAGGAAAATCTAAAATTAGATGATGTTGTTCCTAACATAAAAAGTCACTGCATACAGTTAAGGACTAGAATATTTTTTTGTAGTACGTATTTTTCATATGTACGTGTAAGATGCTGACCTGTTAATTACTTAGTGAGTGATGTTTGTGTGCCTGAAGAGATAAATTAGATTGGCATTCATGTGACAGCATTCCTTTGCAGTTCTGTTCTGACGTTATGATGATTACAAAAATTTGGCTATTCAATATATTCAATAAATGTATTTGTCAATCAAATGATATTGATAGCCATTGAAGTACTGATAGTAAATTGATAATTACTTGTGATTATTTGGCAATAACTTAAAGTTTACGTGATGTGCTCTCTGCTTGAAATACAAGGGAACAAGTGAAGGGACTGTAGCGATAGGACAAGGGGCAATGGTTTTAAACTAAAATAGTGGAAGTTCGGGTTAGATATAAGGAAGTTCTTTACTGTGAGGGGGTGAGGCACTGCAGTGGGTTACCCAAGGAAGCTGCAAATGCTCCATCCCTGGCAGTGTTCAAGGCCAGGTAGGACAGAGCCTTGGGTGACATGGTCTGGGGTGAGGCATCCCTGCCATGGCAGCAGGGTTGGAACTAGATGATCTTAAGGTCCTTTCCAACCCAAACACTTCTATGATTCTATGAATAAGTGTTCTCTGGAAATCAATACATAAAGTGTGAAGCAGTTAAGCATAAATACCTTTGAGCACTGGTAAATACAGGATTCAAGTTGATCATACAGTTGAGATGTTTCCTTTATTTTGAGCTTTTGAAGGTCAATACGTTAGTTAAAGCTGTGGATTATTAAAGTTAAAAACTAGGACATTGTTTACGTTGTTCCTATAAGCAAGGCATTTTCAATGATGCTGTTCTGTACAGAAAGCACAGACTTATTCTGTGGGTCATCTGAGTCAACTGGACTGTGATTATTTCACATCAAAGTCTTAGCATTTCATTGTGACCAAAAAGGAAATCTCAATATGCAATATATAGCTTCTTGAAGGGGGCAGTCAAATCTTATTATGGAATTCAAAAAAACGTTTTTTAATCTTAGGAATCAGGAAGATGGGAAAAGTTACACTGAGAGATCAAATTCTGATGGTATGTCCAATGCATTTAGTACTTAGCCAAATCCTAAAGCTTGTTGAAGGAGTTCAGTGATTCTTCCAGATCTCTGGGTAGTGTTAATTACAAACAGTCAATATTAAATGGTCAAAAAAAAAGAATATTGACATAGGCTAAGTATCCTGTCCGTGTTTTGTTTTCCTTATTTGAAATGAAAGCACTGAAAGAGTTTCTCAGGGACAGTATTTGAAAGCATTTAGTTTTCTTATATGTGACCAGTTTTACTGCTAGTGGAAATTTCATATTATATTTTTGTTTGAAATACTAAATTTAAGGACTAATTTTATCCCCATCTAAGTAGAACGATCTGTGGGAAGTAATTGGTCATGACAAACTGTCAATTTTGCACTTGAATTGTGCCTAATAAGTGACAAGGCTTAAAAAGAACAACTTAGGAAAAGATTTAAACATACTGCACTCTAGATCTAGAAATATGGATAGTTGTTTAAAAAATAATTCCTATCATATACTGGATGCTATCTATATTCGCAGCGTGGCTACATAATGCAAGCATTGTATTAATAGTGAAATATGAAATGCTAGCCATGCTGTTCTTAAGCAGTTCTGTGTTTTTTATTTGTATCTTTTTTTGTCTGTGCTCCTTTGTATATGCTGTATTCATTTTTAATATTAATAAAACTAGGCCTTAAGATATTCTTAACTGTTAATCTTTACAGTAGTTTATTTTTTTTTTCTTGCAATTTTCTAGTAGTATAACTCAATTATTTGCTTTCTTACAAGCTAGAAACCAGAATACCTGGGTTTACCCAGCTGTCCTTGAAAAACTGTAATAGTCTTTGCCTGCAGTATGCAATTACAAGTGTTAAATACATCAAACAAATTTTAAGATATATGAAAGGAATACTTTATAAGACAGGATATTGTATTTGGGCTGGATTCATAAACTACTCTCTGTGTACAAACTAGTCTGACGTAGCTGCTAAATACTTTGGGGCGAACAAAACCACTCAGCGTATCAGTTTAAATACAGATGCTAATACGTATGCTCAGTGCAAGAATTTTCAAGAGTTGTTTCTGAAGTGAAATTAGACAATAGAGCCAATTTCATTTTTTATGCATGTGAATGTAGAGTGCTTGAGGTTATTAGTTGAAACTGAGTAACCTTTCCAGGCTTTCATCTCTTTCTTTTCAAATTTGAATATGAAAAGCATATTCAAGTCAAAGACCATCACTTTAATGACATTTGGCAGTCATTTGATTTATTAGATTTTAGGGTAAAAAAATTCCTTTAAATATTTCATCATTCTATGCTAATCCCGGTAATATTGCCTGCTGAAGCCATGTACCTGTATTAGTGGAGACAGAATGGTGTGGAATTTTCTCTGTCATCCTAGCAAAATTTCCATGAATCTACTGAATAATAAAACAACCTTATTGAAATATTCAGATTTAGGTTTTTAGTTAAAGTATCTTAGGATACATAATAAAAGGAAATGTCTTTTGAAAGGAGGGGGTAAAATTACTTCATCAAATATTGAAGGGGCTTGACAGCAGTGGAAATGGTCCTATATGATGGATATTTTTACGAGAGGATACACCTGCTTTTCAGTTTGATTAATTATGTAATTTGCTTGGAAAAATATAAGCTATCTCCATAATAAATTAGAATATTGACTTGCAGTTCTAACACTGAATCTAGAAAGCTAATCTTTTTAATATAATTTATTATCTAAAGCAATTTAATTTTATAGTCAAAATATTTCCATATAGGGACAATATTTTAAATAGAGTTACAAACTTGAAAAGAAAGCAATAAAAAAGTATTTCTGAGATTTCTGAACTCCGTTGTGTTCTGTTTGCTCTGAAAAATTTTTTTTTTGGTTGCTCACCTATGTGCTGCAATTCTGAAACCGTAGTGGCTTTTCTTACTTTGACTTACAGTTACTAGGGTAGTATTTGTGACTCATTCTGTAGAGTCTGACATTCCCACTTAAATACCTAAAGCTTATTAAAATTTATCTGTACACAAATACTATAGACTTTGCCAAAGGGTAGGAAACAATTTCATATAAGCAACAGGAATATGTCATTTTAGTTAAAGATAATAAGAAAAGGGTCTGGTGAAGAGCAGTTTGGATGATATCTCTATTATCATACTGTTAATTTTAACCTTTAAGTGTATATTTGATTTAACTGGAAAAGATCAGTATATGAAGTTGCAATCCCTATAAATACAGTGTTTACTTTTGCTAACTACTTTGTGACTTGATGGAGGTTTACTGAACTGTTTGTAGCATAGTCTGCAGTAGGCAATAACAAATCTCTTTCATTTGGAAAACTTTGGAACCTAATATTACTATTTCAGGCAGTTATGGGATCAAGATACAAATCACTCTGCTATGTAGCTAAAAAAGCTTCACTTTTACATGAAGATAACCTTAACCTAATCTTCTGCAGCAGAGTACAACTACTGCAAAAATATTGTCAATGCCAAATGTAAATCAGTATCTGGTGCAGTAATATTCTTAACTATGAACCCTGGGGCTTCAGAATCTCATTGTGTCTATGTCAAAATCAGTCAATGTTGATGAACAAAATAGTCAATTATTTACATCTATTGTGTTAATACTTCAAGAAACAAAATAATTTGTATTATGTTTGTGCTTTATTTTTCAATAGACATCTGAAAAAATCCGGATTGAAATTATATCGCTGGGTTTTACTGAGCCACAGATTGCATCAGATGAAACAATACAGCAGCTGTTTGTAGAATGCAGATTACCCAATTTTCTCTCAGAGGAGACCCCACTGTCTCTTCGAAAACCTACAACTGGTCAGAGGATTCACTATAACTATAGCAATGGTAAGTGTGATGTATTCCTGAGCAGGCTTCTTTCTTCTCTTAAATTCTATCTTACGAAAATGCCTGCCAGTAAAGCCTACTTCCTCTAAATATCACAGCTGAATTTATCTGTGTACGGACTGTATCTGTCTGTTTCCCAAATATTTTGGGAAGTATTAAAGGTGGTTTTTAAGAAACAAATGTAATTATCATTTATAAAATGCGTAATTGAAGTAGGCTTGTGTATGGAATGGTGACATTACAATATATTTATATATGTTGATAGCGCATGAATTTTACCCTTAGGCTATACATAACTAAAGTTTATGTATTCTTACTAAAAGAATATCTATGTCAGTAAATGATGATACAGTAAAATAAAAACATTGTAACCGTCTAGAACTAAAACACAGTTACAAAGAGAAAATATGTAACTGGACTTGGTCATCACTTGGGGGAGTACTCAGTGTTCCTTTAATAAGAATTTTTTGAAATAGGAAATTATTCAGCCATGTTTAATATTACCACATTGATATTTAGTTCATAATACTTAATCCTGCATGTTCCTTATGCTATTCTCTAATAAATGAACACTCTTTGTGTCAATACACAATGTCATTTACACTAACAGCATTCACAGAACTATTGGAATAATTGTTAATTCTCATTACTTATTTTCCCAGCTATTTCACAGCATTTCAATTATTCATTAACTTTTTCTCCCCTGTTAAAGTCTGATACATTTAAGATTCAGTCTGAGTGCTTCATGTTGTCTTGGACTTCCAAGTATTGCATTTTTAGCCAACAGAATCCTGGAGCAGGTGAATCAGTTTGCTGTTTGTGGCACACCGTTAATGCAGGTATTCAAACTAAGCATTCTTTTAAAAAACAGTTTTGCGCAACTGGTGCCACAATCAGATCTTTAAAATTGCTGCTATCTAGAAACCTAATTTTAGAAAGAGACTTGCCAAAGAATTTACTCATTTATATCCTCATAATACTCATAAACTGTTGGATTATGCCATAGTTGAAGACTGAAATCCCTCATAGATGTCACATAAAGCATTGTTATAGCAGGACTGCCCATTTGAGGCAGAATAAGAGAGGGCACAGTGTGTTAACTTCTGTGACTCTGAGAAAGACAATGATCTTTGTAAGCCTTTAGAAAAAAAACAGAACAAAAACAGAGCAAAACCCATGAAAACTAATAGCCCTGCAAACTCTTCCATTCAGTAAGGCTTACTTCTGTTCAAACAAATGGGATTTCTGGTATCATATACTAAATGAGATATCAGATAAGTAGGGATTTTTTTTTGTGAGCTGAACAATATTCATCTTGCTAGCTGCTGTAAGCACTTTTCAAATGTTCTAGGTAGGCAGACATAATTGAAATAATTTTTTAAAACCTCATTGAAATAGTACAATAAGCAAATAGAAGCTGTTTATCAATTTTAATTTCTCTTGCTTTTTCAATTTCTCTAGCTTTGAATATAAGAAACATTCAGAAGGTATAAAAACTCACAATATTCTGATTGTTCTTTATATTGGGTATGGTCTCATCATAATGTTAGCTCCTAAGTACTGACTTTGCCAAGTTAAACTAGCAAAATGCAGCAAAGTTGTGATTAATAAAGAATGAAATTACCAACTCTAAAGCTAATTATGAAACATAAATTTATTTCCAGCTGTGATATTTGAAAATAGTATCATGCTTTGTAAAGACTGTAATTCATAAGTCTTTCCAATCTGGTAGTGCAGTATCATGTTATTTCCGCTAATCATAACCTGGCTTCATTCATACCTTTGATTTTCTTTTTGTTGCTTGAGTATAGAACTGTTTAAAACAAATCAAAATTAAAATGTGTTTTTGGTCTTAATTGCCTCAGGACTGTATTCTTCAGCATAATACTAATGTGAATGTTGTTTGCAGAGTTTTGCTTAGGCAGTTAGTCATCTAATTTCTACTCAAGATTAGCTTTGCATAAAAGGGGGGAAAAAAACCCATAATGAGTGTGCTTTTTGATAATGTCAGTCAGAAAGCCAGTAAGATAGTAGTAATGAAACCTGCATGTGTGTTTACTATAACTTTACTGTATCTTTTATTCATGTCTAATTATATTTGAGTATGTTGAATATTTAAGGTTAATCAAATATTTCCTGTAATAAAAGTGAGATTTGCTTGGGTAGAAAGAAATTTACTTTGAGCTTAGAAGGAAACTAATAGTCTTCTAGATTTTTGCATGGAGAAAATCAGGCTAAGTCCATTAAGTAATCTAAAATGTCATTAGTTTTTATAAATAAAACCTATTATATTAGTTAGAATAGCTCGACTGTTTTAAAAACATCTTAACTAATACAGAAGGCTCCAGATCGGTTGCTTAAAAAATATTCTAGGTTTTTCCGTACCTTTTTGCACATTCTTTGGTGTCATTGCTTGACAAGTAAGATACCGGAAGATTAATGGAATCTTGGAATCAGAGCAGCCCTGTGGAGAAGGACTTGGGGGTGTTGGCTGGTGAGAAAATGAACATGAGCTGGCTTCGGTGTGCACTTGCAGCCCAGAAAGCCAACCGTATCCTGGGGCTGCATCAAAAGGAGCATGACTAGCAGGTCGAAGGAGGTGATCCTGCCCCTTTATTCTGCTCTTGTGAGACCTCACTTGGAGTATTGTGTGCAGTTCTGGTGTCCTCAACATAAAAAGGACATGGAACTGTTGGAACAAGTCCAGAGGAGGGCCATGAGAATGATCAGGGGACTGGAGCACCTCCCGTGTGAAGATAGGCTGAGAAAGTTGGGGCTGTTCAGCCTGGAGAAGAGAAGGATGCGTGGAGACCTCATAGCAGCCTTCCAGTATCTGAAGGGGACCTATAGGGATGCTGGGGAGGTACTCTTCATTAGGGACTGTAGTGACAGGACAAGGGGTAATGGGTTAAAACTTAAACAGGGGAAGTTTAGGTTGGAAATAAGGAAGAAATTCTTTCCTGATAGGGTGGTGAGGCACTGGAATAGGTTGCCCAGGGAGGTTGTGAATGCTCTGTCACTGGCAGTGTTCAAGGCCAGGTTGGACAAAGCCTTGGGTGATTTGGTTTAGTGTGAGGTGTCCCTCCCCATGGCAGGGGAGTTGGAACTAGTTGATCTTAAGGTCCTTTCCAGCCCTAACTATTCTATGATTTGATGAAGAACTCCTTCGACCAGGGCATACAAGATCCTACGTATTTCCCTTTTCACAAGTGGTTACTGTGTATAATTTGACATTAATCTTTTATTTTTACTATGACTTTTTGACTAGGAATGGTTAGAACATAATTTTCTTTTGTCCAAGGTCTTGGAACAGAAATTTGAGTGAGAGGTTTATACACTCTGATTTCCCACATATTATCTAATCATGGCTGCACTGACTGATAAGAGGAGCTTAGTGGTGGAAAAAGTTGTTAGACTATCCAAGAATGCTTCCAAACACTACAGTCCCCTAAATTCAAAGAAAAGTGGAACTTGCTAATTTGTGCTTACACCATGACTCTGTCCTGTAACTTGATGAAAGGGAAGGATTCTGAATTTTTTTATGAGGTTTGTTTAGGTGTTCTTGGTTTTGATGAGAGTGTGTTACAGATCATAGTAAACAAATGAATTAATATTTTAACTGATTAATGCAGCTTAAAATTGTGTGCCAAACATTTATTTCCAGTCATGTAACAATATATGCTTTAAAGTGAGCATGATGCCAGTTTACTGTCAGAAAAACATAAAAAGCCATGGTGCTCCAAGCAAACAAAACCCAATCTCCCTCACATATCTATTGATATTTGACTCTTAATTTCAGTAAAATAAATATTTTTCTTGTCAAAGCCACAATTATTTAAATTTCAAAGGTAAAGTGAGTTCATAAATGCTGTTAGTAAAAAAGCATTCATATTTTATTAAAGGTGAAGACTTAACTGTGAAAATGATGAGATGGCAAGAAATTTACTAGAAATTAAGCTTGGTAAGAGATCTGAAATGTGTCCTTATACTGTATATGACGGTTCTAGAGAACAGGCAGAAGAAAGATTTACAGAATTCTGTGCAGATTTCTTTCACTCTTGAGTGAACAGCTGGTTATTGGAACAACTTGAAGCACAAGTATAAGTAGACCAAAGGAAAAGGAGGTGGAGGAAAGATGATAGGGTGTATATATATATTTATTTGTTTTTTAATTAAACTTCTGAAGATCCATATTCTAAAAGGTGGATTCCTCAGTATAG